CTGTACTGACCAGCGTGGTGAAGTATGGTCAGATAACCAACATAACCAACGTGGTGTTGGGGAGGCCTTCATCTACTGTAGCAGCAGATTGACAACAAGCTGTAATTTGTTATTAAATGTGTCATGTACTCTATTATGAAGTTGCCTGAACTCAATTTACATCGAGGTGTTTTGTTTATTGAAAGTAAATACTTTGCTCTGCAACATTTTTACTGCCTTGACTTAACGGGTTTTTTTTACTCATGTCCTGTTAGTGAAATACAATATTTATTCCAGGGGTTTAACGATCTATTCATGAATCTTTTACTTGCAAATCCTAATGCTCGCAAAATGCATCAAATTTCGCGTATTTCACGCAGATTATTTCCCCGTGTTACTTTTGGGATAATGCGGTAAAAAATCTCTGCAAGCGAGAAAGGACAAACGAGATACAATATAAATGAGGCAGTAAAACCAAGACGTGGGAATAATTCATTCTCGACTTGACCCGTTGCCCCGAAAAATGATAATTCATCAAATAGCTTGAAGGGACAAACAGGGACAATCTTTACAATCCTGACCTTTAGAAAAAAAAATAGATATTTTGTAAGTTTTATTGGTTTCCAGTGGTACTGCTGATGGGCCTTTGAGAAGTTTTATAGTTGCCTTTGGTATCCTCGCCCCCCTTCGAGTTCATCGGTTGATGAACATTTTGTCTACGTAGATGTCCGCAAGTACATTCTGAACGTATTGAGTACCTGCTTTAACTACAGCAGTGCATACCGACTGTGGTGGTACCTGCTATGACTACAGCAGTGGGACCTGCTTTTAGTACAGCAGTGCATAGTGACTGTGGTGGTACCTGGCACTTTTGATGAACGCATACGGGTTTTGTTTACAGGGCAGTTCAGTACGTAATGCAAAAGTTGGGCGCGAGAGGTGGAAAAAAAAGATTGCCTTGTATTTTTGGTATGGCCTAATCTGGCATGGCCTTAAAAGACGATTTAATAATAAACAGATTGTCTGCCAACGAGTGTGCTGTTTTGGTGTGAGTTTCTTAACGCGTTTATACATTACCATCTTGGAACAGTTGGCATTCCAAATAAATTCAACTGCAGCACCTTCATATCTTCATAGCTTCTAAGTCTGCCAATGTATGTGTGTCGAACTTCCTTTGCACCGTACGTAGCCAATCGTGCTAATAATCCAAGGTGCAGGGGAAGGACAACAAACTAAACATAAAAGCAGTTGTAAAGAAATTAGTTAAGTGGTTCAATCCTTCTCTCATTCAAATGTACACATTAGCAGAGATTATATAATAAATAACAATGTCTTATCGGAGCATCTCCCGAGTTCTGAAACATGACGAATTCAAGATTAGTTTCATCGTGATTTCCATGCCAATTCAAGTGATCTTTTTGGGCTCCTTCGCCCGGTTTATGTAAATACAGAGAAGCTTAACCAAGTAATATTTCTCCTTGATAAAATTACATCATTTGGAGGGAGCTGTGGTTCCAGTGGTTTATTTTATCACACTGCTCGATAATCCTGGTGACTTGAGTTTGGCATCCAGGCAAGCTAGGAGAGGAGACCCGTTGGCCTTGGCCAGCTTGGTGAAGATCTAGGTCTGGATTTGGCAACCTCCGGCTCTTTAAGGACTGCTTCGTGACATTATTTATCGAGGACCACCGTCTCTTTTTCACGTGCATTGCGATGGCTTTTGAAATATTGAGGTTTTTTTTACCGGATTCTACGAAAAATGTGCTCTTGTTATTTGATTTTCGACCCCTGGCCTAGGCGGTGCACGGAGCAACTGAGTGCTTAGGCCTACGCATACACGGAGCAGCCGCTTCTATAGCCAATGCTACGTGGTTATAACACGTTGTCCTGGATGCACATGGGCATGGATAAGGGACCCTGCCTGGGCCATCCTCCACTGGGCCATTCAAGGGGCCTGACCTTTATGCTGAATGCCACGCCGGGATCGGGGTGAAACCTGGTCAATTTTGCCCTCTAGGCATTCACGAGTGAATCTCAATGGAGATATCCCAGTCACTTAAAATCAGCCTCAATGCCCCTCCCCCCTCTTTTTTCTACTTTTCCTGCAGGGGTATCAGAGCTTAGGAAGACACCAGAGGGATGTAGAGTTTATTGAAACGTGCGGTTTAGACAGGTTTACATTGCACTGTAATCCATAATGTGTCTGTGCTGATGTCAACCCCCTTTCAGTGTCCTCTGTGTTGTGTACCTGATATCGCTTTGTTCATTAAATACTTTTGAAAGTAAAAATAAACATCAGCCTGGATGGTCCCCCAACTCTGGTTGGCTGGCCTCAAATTGGTGACGCTCATCCAGTGAACGAACGTTGATGCAACCTTGGCCCAACGTTCCGTGTAGCTAAGATAAGCCTCTAGCTGAAGCTTCGCGACATTAAATTTGCAATAGAATCGTGATAGATCCCATCCTGTTGCACGAACAGTCCACAGCACAATCTCTGTAAGAGAACCTTTCAATGAAGTGGATATTTGTTTTACGTGGGATTCACCCACAGAAACAAAAACACGTTGCTCACTCAGGAATGGCCCAACTCTGGCAAATAATCGTTGGATATATAAAAAAAGACAGACGGTTTGTGTGCACCGTAGTAGATGATGTAGGAAAACTTTGCGTTTGGAATATTTTTTATATGAACCGTTCGTCTAGTACAGGGGTCGGCAACCTACGGCTCCGGAGCCGCATGCGGCTCTTTACGGGCTGCTTCTTGACGATATGTACGTATGTACAGTATGTACTCAGATGCATTGCGGCTCTTGAAATACTGAATTTTGTACCGAATTGGAAAGAAATGGCTCTTCCTGTTATTTTGGTTGCCGACCCCTGGTCTAGTACATCAGCATTGAAGGCACTGTGAGGTGTAACATTAAAAATCATAATCTTTATATATACCGGAGGAATCTGATGAAGTTATTTTTCACAGATGTCCACATTAAGCAGAAGATGAACGTAAAGAGTTCACCACTAAGTTGACAGTGATGCATCTCAGTGTTTAGGCATTTTCAACTCGAAGGTGCCATTCAATGGTGCATGGAGAAAATGCGAATGTCGGGCAGCTGGCTAGAGTTGATTGAAACTCAGCCGTTTTGGTCTTCTTAAGCAGCCGTAATCAGATGATGAATGCAGCAGGCGTGCCACCCACACCTGCTGCTGCTGATGTATCCCACCCGACTCCAAAATTCCTCGGTCGTGTGAAGCAAAACAACTCGTAAAAAGAAGAGACGTAAAGCCGCTTAATCACATAATCACCGCAACTAGCAAAATCTTACAACGAAAAAAATGGTTGGGCATATACGCTGGTCCTCTGCGGGCAGGCTCGCTCGCAGAATCACGGGGGGTTTGAACTTGTTTGTTGTTGGCGAAGGCGCAGCCAGGGACATTGGACCCATGCCGAGCAGGTGGAATGGAAAGCGTTTTTTTTTGCGTGGCCTCAGGGCCGAGAGTGGATTTGGGACCCCCCCCCCGTGCCCATTCATCAGTGTCGGTTACTGTAATGGCACTTGCCCGATGGCATTGTGGGTGTGTGTGGCTTTTGTGCTGTCATTGGGAAGACCTGTTAGCTGCTTGCTTAAGAGTTGTGGTGCACTTAACCGAATTTTCGAACGGTGTCACATTTTAAATGGGCTTGGCTCCGAAAATTTACGTTTCAAAAAGTTGCTGTTGCCATCCGAGATTGCTCCCGCCCCCCCCTTCCACCGCTTGTTATGCTCGACGAAATTTGCGGTGATAGTTGTGGAATTTTATTCCGCGAATATTTATGTTGGCGGCATGGGCAGCATATTTGTTCGCCGTTAACTTCTGATAAGTGTGTGTGTTGCTGAATCATTTTTTCTTTGCATGTAGTATACAACAACAAAAATACTGACTTGGTACACATATTGCATTCTCTCTATGAAGTTTTATTTTAAACCCGACTTTGCAATGGCTGGCGCCTGATGAGGCTTATTGGTTGTAATTACCGGACGAAACGTCGTACTAGAATTGCAAATGTTGTGGGTTTACTCTCCAACACACCGGTGTGCTGTACTACTAACGAATTGGCACGTTTGGTTCACGTGAGTAACCTTACTAATTGTCTGTGGTGGGTTGAACGATGCATTTATATTTTACGCAATCTAACTTTAAAAAAAACCTCTGACGGATAATATTGGTTGCGAAAGCCTATGCGTTAAACTGAATGTTTGCGTTGTTGTTATTCATCCGTCTTGAAATGCAGGCGTAGAGTCGCGTAATTGTTGTTCAGGAAAATCACTGTACCGTTGGCCAAACACCCCCAATGGCATTACCTTCTTGGAAATCGTATTCATGGTCCATTTGTTTCCACCCTGTGTAAATCAATAAACAACTACGTATCTGTGGGACATTGCCAGAAAGGGTAAAAGCCTATTCTTCTTTTGTCATCGAAACAACGAAGTATTTTCATTTAATAATAACAACAATAGAAATGCGACGGGGGCCTACAAAGTTAGATTTTTAAACGTCCAGCAGGACACACTGCACTCAACTGCCCTGTGCGTGTACGTGCGTGTGCGTGCATGCATGTGCATGTGCAGTGTGGGGAGCGGTGGCGCAGCGGTTAGCGCACTGCGCTTCAAACCCGGCGACCCGAGATCGATTCCCGCTCATGGCCAACATCGATGACGAATATCTCAACCGATCCTGGCCCTCCCCGAGGTCGACTCGGCCTCAAATGAGTACCTGGTATGGTGTGTCAACATTCCCACTGGGGAGACAAAGGTGGCCGGGCGTGATGCTGACCACCAACACTCATGCGTGCCGTGCCGGCCTTCATCGGTACTCTCGACCAGCACTTACCCCAACAGTCCATTAAGGCTATACGGGGAATCTTTGTCTTTTGTGTGTGTGTGTTAGGCCACCATCAACGTACTTAAGTGACTACTTCCACTGCATTACAAAGGTTTGTCTGTGTGTAACCCGAGCACCGTCCCCTCTGACCCGACCCCAAGACAGCACAATCGGATCGCACGGATCCGCGCGGAGCGCCTCGAAGGCTTCCGCTCTCTCGAGACGCTGGACCTGAGCTTCAATCGCATTGCGGACATCGCCGGCTCCTCCTTTCCCATCGGCCTCCGTCTCGCCAAGCTGTAAGCAGATTCTCCCCCCCACCCCCAACCCCCGTATCCCTCTGCCAGAGCCGGAGCCCCACGGCTTGAGTTAGTGGAACACATTGCCTCGTTATATTCAACTATGTGGGTACGCTTTGTGCCTGCCATGGATAACATGGCATTTTGGCACGTTCACGACAATCGGGTGGGCGGGGGGCTTTAGTCTTTCATTGTTCCCCCCCTCCCAACTCACCCCCAACTCCCCCCCAAACTCCCACCCTCCCAACTCGCCCCCCCAACTCTCCCCCCAACTCGCCCCCCCAACTCTCACCCACCCAACTCGCCCCCCCAACCTCCCCCCCAAACTCCCACCCCCAACTCCCCCCCAAAACACCCCCCCCCCAAACTCCCCCCCCCCCCCAACTCCCCCCCCCCTCCCCCTGAGCTTGTCATGCATAGCAATGTCATGTTTAATATGCCGGGTTTTCTCCTTTTTTATATTTCCCCAATGCAGATAACATGACATTGGCATGTTCTGTTTTAAGTATTGGTACTTTGTTATGTTTTTTTGTTATATTGGCATGTTGTTCCGTTTATATACGAGTGGCATGTGATTCGTATTTTTGCCCTCCCATGGGTGTCTGCTGGACATTGTAAGAGTGCGCAAAAACGTAGTGGCTGTAACGAGCCCACTTTCCCTTCGCCTCTTCGACTTAAACAACTTGTCGCAACTTAGTTTCTGTGATTCTCGATTTGAGCAAGGTTTTGTAGGAACGTGGGAACAGTGGCGGTGGGAGAGCGAGTTACAAAGTGGAGCTGTGCGAGAGGAAGAAGCAAAAAGAAAAGCGTTGTGCTCTGCAGCGTGGTGAACGGGTGGGCGGGCGTAGCGAGTGGGTGTGCGTGTGTATTGATGTATGCTGAACTTCTTTTGCACCGTATGTAGCCAACCGTGATAATCAGAGGTGTGGGCGAAGGACAACACATCTAAACACAAGAAGCAGTTGTAAAGAAACGAGTTTTAAATCTGGATTCAAAAGTGCGTAGCTGCAGCGGCTTCCGAATATCGGAAGGAAGAGCGTTCCAGACGGCCACAGAAGCGCACCTGAAAGCGCGCGACGCGGTAACCGCCTTTGTTCGATGTCGAGCCAGAAGCCACTACTGCTCCAACGATGACCGGAGTTTGCGTGGTGCTTTATGCTCCTTGACGAAATCAGCAAAGGTATCGTGGTTCACTTGTGGCAAGCACTTTGTGTGTAACGAGTGCGACCTTACAATGTATTCGTTCGGCAACCGGAAGCCAATGCAGCTTGGCGAGCACTGGGCAGGCATGGTCGGATCTTGTAAGTGCCCGTCGCGTCACGTGGCGGGGGATTTTGTGCACGCTGCAGCTTGGTCATGGATTGGGATGATGCTGGTGAATCAAGAGCATGATGGAGTGCTCTTGGAGAACTATATTCGATGATGGAAAGCGGCATACGCTTGTTAAAAATTAAAATTTCCAGCGAATGCACATCGCCTGCTGCGGATTGAGAACAATGACAGCTGACATTGAGGATCGGATTAAAGCTGAGAAGTTGCACTGCGAGATAAACACTGGTGAACGTGGATGAGAGACGGTGGTGAAGTGGCATAAAATGGACAGAGTGCGAGGGCGATCTGTGAGGGTGATCACCGCAGAGTGAGAGAGTGATCACCACAGAGTGATCACCACAGAGTGAGAGGGTGATCACCACAGAGTGTGACGGCGATCACCGCAGGGAGGGAATGACGATAGATCAGTTCATCCACAGGACGGATTGTCACATTGCAGGCCCGCGAGAGATTGACATGGCATGGAGGCGGCCTTTACCCTGCAGTGGATAGACCATGGCTGGCGGTGACCTCTACGGCCATCCCATTAGCGCAGTTGGTTACGTACGGTGCGAAAGAAGTTCAACGTACCGTACACACATACATTATGTCCGTCTCTTATAATATTTTGTTCAAGTGGATTCTTCTCATAGTTGCGCATGTGTATTGCACCAGTCATATACGCCGACTTTGATGGTGTTGACCATTGAGTTCATGATTGTGTCCACTGCACGCTATGCGAGTGACTGAGATATCGTGGTTACAACTCGCGAAATGGGTCCCGGATTCAATTCTGTCCTCAGATATTCACAACATTACGTGAGCCGTAATAATTTGGTGTAATATATACCCGCAAGTTTGGGGGGCATGCGATAAGCGCTGTGGTGTTTTTTACAGGGGTGGGTAATTTTACATCAATTCCATTTTAAAAAGTCATAATTTGTCTATTTTATTTTTTATAGCGTTTCAGGATTTAATTTTCCTCTTCTGATAGGGAACCTTATTGGCGCCAAAAACGACTGCATGGGCAATTATTGGCCAATCAAAGATCTAAGACAAAGATACCCCATATAGCCTTTATAGGCTGATGGGACAAGTTCTGTTAGTACTCACCGATAAAGGCAAGCATGGTGCATTGAGTGGTGGTGTGGCCAGAACCATACCTGGGACACTTTTGTCTCCCCAGCGTTATTTCCACAATGTATGAGGTGTTCATTTAAGGCTGAGTCGACCCGGCAGAGGCCCATAATTAATCTGTTCAGATATCCGTTACTGTTATCGGCCGTCAGTGGGAATCAAACTCAAGGTGCTGGGTTGAAGGGCGCAGTGCCCGAACGATATGCACACATCTCTTAAATTTTGTTATCCTTTTTATCTACAAAAGCAGTCTGCTGATTGGACAGTGAACTTTGGTTTTGACGGGTCACTCAGAGCAACTCATATATTGCATGAATCAGTGCCTCTAATTTAAAATCTCTCTGAACGTCGAAAAGATATTGCACTCTCGCCACGGGGTAGATAATTCCAAATCTTGGAGCTGTAATAACCAATTCAGCCTTCGAATTTTTGCGAAAAATCATGTAAGTCATGAAACTTAAAAAAAATCCAAATCACTGCAAATGCAGTACGCATATAATGAATGTGCTTTGTCTGCATGTGAAGCAAAGGCAGAAATGCAATAAATCAGGTTGCCATTCGTTACGTGGGTGATTGGAGCATTTCCAGTTACCCAGTTTATTCGTGCCAATTAATCAGGATCGTTTTTCTTGCAATTATCTGCAACATTCACTTATGCAATAGTCTTTCATACGCCCCTTCGTCATTGGCAATTGGAAGTTATTGCTCGTTGTACATTTCAAAGACATCTGTATTCACTTGACATAATTGCGTGGTTTCTTTAAAGGACTCGTTCTATGACGTAAGGTAAAAACAGTTCATCTGTACCTTGACGAAATGTAACAGTTTGCTACAAAATATCTCGGGCAATTATTTACCATGAATATTACAATGCACACTTGCATATTTTCATTAGAAATAGCCTATCGTGTTGGCATAACTACGGTTGCGGCTTTTTCCATCGTCGATCGGATGGATGAGTCCGAATCCAAGATGACACTATGAACTGTAGACCATGCAACTATGTACGCATTCCTCTCCCGACCGTCTGCGGTCCAGAAAGCCATCCCGACTTGCGCACACCGGAGGAATTTGACGCTGTGCAATATCCAGCGAGCGTGAGGCTTTTGCACCACTGTCCGAGCCGTTTGGCCCCTCTGGGGAGAAGTCTTTTTGCGAGTTCAAGTTCAATGGAAAGTCGGGGTAGAGACTCGGCTGTGACCAAAACAGCATCTGCGAAGTAATTATTGGGTCACAAGCCCCCCCCCCCCACGTCCCCCGTCTCCCCCATTTCCCAGTGGTGCCGCCCTCTTTTGAACGAGCCCGTTCTTCTGAGCCGAAGAGAAATTTTGAAAGAAAAACAATCCAATGCAGCTTTGCAATTTCACTACACCCACCCCCGCCGCATCCCCCTCCCGCCCTCCTGCCTTCCCCTCCACGACCGCCTCTTGAAGCCCGTATCATGCCAGGTTGAAACGAACAGGCCATAGACTGTAAATTAAAGCCCACTCCAGCTCTCTCTTCCGTGGCAGCAGCAGCAGCAGCAGCAGAGACGGGCTTCTGACAGGTTGCCGATTGTGGTGGGTGAGCCATACCTGAGTTCACATGGGGGGCCCTCTGTGGACCGTAAACTGAGAGGCCGGACTGTTTTGACGAAAAACAAAGCGGTAATTGTGCCGCTGTGTGGCCTCGGGTGTTATTGAAGGAACTTCCACGGAAAGAAGCTCTCCAGGCTTTCTTTAATGAAAACTTGATACTGTTTTTTTTTCTTTCTTTAATAACCAAAGTAATCCGCTGGCCATTTGATCGGTAGCTACAGGCCGCTGTTTGGCACACTGGATGTATGGCTGTTGCTGTGTTTAAACACTTTCATCACTCTGCTCGTTGAGTTCTCGGTGTTTTGATCATCCGCCACAGATTTGGGTCCCACCACGGCGCGTGACGAAACAATTAATTTGTTGTAGTTTCATTTCATTGATTTCGTCTGAAACGTAAGCAATGTATACCCGCTGTACGACTTATCCAAGAGAAAGAAGCTTTTAGTTTGCACCTCGTCAGTCTTTACAATGTTGCCTTGAAGCGATTTAAATAGATTGGAACATTCTGCACCAACGTTACATACTTTTTCAGTTATTTTAAAGAGTAATATAAAGTTCGAACAACAATTAATTTGGGAGTGTTTTGGCTTGTGATAATATAATTATTTGTTACGAATAATGTAGTATTTAAGGTTGCTCTGATTCTGGGCTCTGACTAGCATTTCAGTTTGTAAAATAACTCATTATTTGAGTAAATTGTAACGGTTACTATTTTCTACAATGGCCTTTGGTGTGTGTCGAGTTACTGTCGTTCGTGATATTTAAAAAAAAACCCACCTAATGCCGGCACACGAGTGGATTTAATGGCTCCATCTCCACGATGGCCATGATCGCGATGATGATTAGTGTTGAATAAGAAAGTTATTTTTTACTTATACTTGCACGAATGGTTGTAGAAAAAATTAACTTTTCTTGCGGTTGTGACGTACGTGTTGTAAGGAAACCCATAGCCGTTGTTTCAAAGTACATTTTTACTTGTTTTGAGCAACTTACTTTGCACAATTTAATTTTCACCTGTTCCACCTGAAATTAAATGGTTTCCATCCGACCACAAAAAAGATATAATTGACGTTGATGTGACAGGTAGGACAACACAACTTTGTTAACTTGAGAGACGTTGGCTATGTAAGACTTAAAGTTGCTTTTTTTGTTTGCAGATATCTCAATAATAACAGGATTAAGGTCTTGAGGCCTGCAAGTTTTGACACATTGGGTGCCACGCTTAAGATTCTAAAACTAAGCAATAATCGGATCACCGTTCTGACCACTAAACTCTTCCAGCTGCCTTCGCTCCAGCACCTGTGAGTATTTGATTTCAAAAACAATTGCACAATCCTTTCCACTCTTTCAAGTCGAATGTTTTTGCAGAAGTTTCCCCGGGATTTTGTCGAATTCAAGATTTACGGGATTTTTTTTTTTGAGGCTCACAAACACATACTGCGAACACTTTATTTGCTCAATTTTACTCTCGTAATGGATTTTTTTGCGTGGCTGAACAATCGCATCCTAACTCGTTTCCTGTTACGGGTAACTCCAAATGCGCGCTCAAAGAGTGTCTTTAACTGTACCATTCCTTCGGAGCGCATGGGGCGGTCATGTGATCTTTTGATCGTGGACGTGATGACATATGACCCACGTTTGTTAAAACACGGGGGTGACGCCAAACTGCCTGTACAAACACAGCTGCGAAACATTGAGAAATAAACGGGGAAAATTGACCATTGTGCTGCTCGCTTTGAGAGCATTGCAGGACCCCCAACAAAAGACCTGAGCACAGAGAGTCGAGGAAAGAGTCCCACTGCATTTGAGTCTTAGTAGTGCATCTGGTTACGGCCGCTGTAAAGGCAGACACTGTAACCTTCATGCTCATGGGCATTCTGTATTTTGTATCAAAATTCTTCGACCCGTTTTTGGAAAGTTATTTTCTGTGTGCATTCAAAGTTTAAAACAATATTCCACAGTGATGGACCCTCCTTCGAATCGCACCGCAGCGATGGGGCCTCCAGCCAATCAAACCCGTATTGTAAAGCACTGTCCAACACACGCAGGCGCACGCACGGCACTATTTGAACGTGGCTGAGTGCTGATAAACGGCTGTGTTATTCTGCACGTGTATACGTGGCGTTCTTTTTTCCTCCTCCTTCTTCTTTCTCTTTTACAGTGACCTGAGCCGAAACAGGCTGCAGAGGGTGGAGGGTTTGGCTTTCTCCGAGCTCGCGTCGCTCGAGTACCTACGGCTGCAGCGCAACAGCATTTCTTCCCTCATGGACGGCGCCTTCTGGGGTCTTCACAGGATACAGAAAATGTGTGCCTCTCATGCCAGCCCCCCAACACCCCCCCCCCTCTCTCCGTATGACTCTACACGAACCCCTACCCCCTCCGCCCCCCCAATCAATCTTACAATCCTTTCGCATTGCCGGCCACAAGCACCGACAAGATTGCGACGTTTTCTTTTCTTTCCGGAATTCCAGCCAGAATCGGAATCTTTATTTAGAGTGCAGGAGGGCGCCGAGGTGGCGAGATGTTAAGGACCTCGCCTGGTCTATGGAAGTTTTTGGGTTCGATCTCGACCCTTACGTTTGTATATCCGGAGGATGCACGTTCTCCCTGTGGTCGTGTGGATTTTTCTCCGGGTCCTCCGGTTTTCCCCTCCACATTTAGAAATCACGCGTTTAGAGTATTTGCTTGCTTTAAATTTCCACACGATGATAAGCCACTTCGTTGAGCAAAAATTTGTGGTCAAGTCGCTTTTGAAAATAAAAAAGAGCAAAATAGCTCAGTGGGCCTTACCTTAAAAAAAAATTGTTAAAAATAGTCTTCATACTTTCAGAAATCGGAATACCTTTCCCGAGCCTGCAGGAGTAATCCGGTGAGCTACTTGAAGCTTTTTTTCTTTCACTGATGTCAAGTATGGGGCGGCTCAGTAACTTTTACAATGGCAAACAATTGCAAAGAAACGATAGGAGTGCAACATACAGACAATTGTAAGCAAATCACCAAATATATGAACAAATATAAAAATGTCTGATTTATCAAGCTTGGGCAAAGCAGCAAAGACAACAACAAAACAGTCCCAGACCTCGCCAAGATAACAAACAGTAGCCCCTCAATAAAATGGCACATTGACATTGAACTATCGCTACAAATCATATCTGCAACTGCTGTATAAAGAACTAAGAGTGATAGGATCCTGCCAAGGGTGCATTGGTTAACACGCTGGGCTTGCGAATCCAGAGGTCGCAAGGTCGATCCCCGGCCACCGGCAGTTGAAACGCCGGGCAGGTTCATTAAATCTACCGCCCCCCCCCCCCCGGCCCACTCTGTCCACCGAGCAGGTGGGGTGAAGTGTGGGTACTACCGCCTCCAGCGTGAAAGAATATTCCAAAGTCCACTGCAGAGCTGCTGTCTGGAGCTCCCTATAGCGGAGGCATTTCCATCAGCAGTGATGTGAGCGGGAAATGTCTCGGCTGCAACGTCACCAATTTGCCATTTGGTCAAGAGGAACGATGTGTTCCGACATGAATCGGGGATTTTTGTGTGATGGATATTGGGAGTGCTGCTTGTGTGCGATGTCCACTGAAGGCTTCTGGACCAAAGGGAATTAGTCATCAAAGTGGTCTGTGCATATTCTTAATGGCAGAGGGTGGTCACTGACCACACGCATATTGTATACTTTTATAAGCCAACCATGCTAATCGGAGGTGCAGTTTGTTGAACCACCGACTGATTGAGTTATGCGCGGAATAGATGGAACTCATTTATTTTAATATTTAGATTAACCATGGTTTTTTTTTATATGCACATCCTGTCATCAAAACATATTGCCAACCATCTCCTTATATAAACTTTCCTTACCCTTGTTCTTTTCAATTGAGAATAATAATAATACTTTTACAGTATACTATAACTTCATTGGTTTTAAGCTGGTACCGTAGTTAGGGGGCTCATTGCAAGTACATATCCCATGGTGGGCTCAGTCAGAGCTTGACTTAGCCCATCATTCCTCTGCGGTTGATACAACGAGTACCCGTTTTGTTGTGAAAGTCAACAGCAGTTGTACGACGGAAAGAGCGGCCCCCCTTCACAAGAATGTGGATCTTCACCATTGGAACCTCATTTGCCAGTAAAAAATATGATATTTTTTTTTTTACTGGCAAATGAGGTTCCAATGGTGTAAATGCTTAACCTGAGCTCTCATACTCTGATGGTGCATTGTCTTTGAGTTGTGCACTTTTTGGCGTCATCTGGTCCAACCCATGTGAGACTAGGCTCCAAGGAAAGCTGTCTCGGGTGTGGACCAATCAACTGCAAGGACAGTGCATACATTATCAGAGTTGTGTTTTTTGTTTGCATTATGACTGCAGGTATTGTGGTCTATGCAAACATCACTCCTCGTAAAAAAAGGTGCCCATTTTGTTGCCAGATAGAAGGGTAAAAAACAATTATCAATGTGGATCTTGTCTGCCGCTAATTTGATGGCCACCGACCAGATGCAAGCATAAAAAAAAATTGTCCATAACAAGCGAGCGGGGCGGACGTGTGGTGGAAAGTTTTGACGGCTGTGCTCCCGTGCCCTGCCTCCTGCAGTCAGTTACAGCACAACAGACTCACGGAGGTGAGCACGGGGTGGCTGTACGGGCTGCAGTCCCTCCGCCACCTGCATGTGAGCCGCAACGCCATCACCGCCATGGACTCGGAGGCGTGGAAGTTCTGCGAAAACCTCTGGGAGCTGTGAGCAAAGCAACGGCACCCTCCACTAATGCGCACCCATGGGTACACGGGTTACCGGGCAGTGCCCGAGCGGTTGGTTATTGTATGTATGTGTGTGTTGATGTTGAGGGGGAGCGGTGGTGCAACGGTTCAGGCGTTGCGCTACGAACCCGGAGACCCCAGTTTGATTCCCGCTCACGGCCAACACCCGTGACGATTGTCTGATCCAGTCCTGGGCGATGTGTAAACATCGCCACTAGGGAGACAAAGGCGGCCGGGCGTGGTGTTTGCCACCCACCCCCTCGTGTGCCGTGTCGGCCTTCGTAGGTGCTCGCTAACAGCACTTGCCCCAACAGTCTGTAAAGGCTATACGGGGGAACTTTTTTTTCCTTTGCTGATGTTGCACTTCTTCCGCACCGTACGTAGCCAACCGTGCTAGTCGGAGGTGCCGGCTGACTGCCTTAGCTGCTGCCTTTCCCCCCCCCCAGCCCCCCTTGTCTATGGTTCCTCCTCACGCCACGGAATCATTCTCGTTTTGACAATGTTGGAGGCGCTGCCGAGGCGCTACGGGTGAGCACACCGGGATTTCAATCCGCAAGGGTCCCCCGTGCTGTTCGGAAAAAAGAGCGTTTTGTAGGTCATTGGATTCCTCCAGCATAAATGAACGTCCCGATTCTGATTCGGTTTAACCCGGCGAGGCCGTTGAAACCTCGGGCAAGTTTCAGAAATCCCCACCGTTGCCTACCCGGCCATTATGAATGGGTACACCACGGTTAGTGGATCGGCAGGCCGCGTTTGGTGGGGTCCAAGTGTGTGTACTCCCGCCTCTGCCAAGATATCTGGCCGGCGTGGAAGAGTAGGCCTATGTCCCTCTTAGAGGTGTTCTCTAAAGCTCCTCCTAAGTGGAAGCCCCTCGCGGCCAGCAGTGGAGTGAGCAAATGGGCCTTGCCTGGTGAAATAAAAATAGCTTTTAGTTTTTACGTGATTAATGGGCTGCACCTTTATATTTTACCAAGGGGTTATCTGAACCATTATCCACCATTACTAGATTCGGTGTTGCCTGAAGTTATTATGTTTCAACGTTGTGAGCCAAGAAAACCGAACAAAAAACAAAACTTCAAACATTTGCGGATTTCCATCATTGGAGACTGCCGTTCGCATTCTCATATCGTCTTGTCCTTCGTGGGTAAATTATTCTCAACGGATCCCTGGTTCTGGGGAAATAACCACAGTAGATGCGCGGTCCATTTGGGAAGGCCTCTATTGTCCGACATTAAATTAAATGATACACCCACATTCTCCCGCCATATCTTGCGGTGCTCACGATAACACCGTAAACACTAATTTATTTGGAAATGCTTTTGGTGTTTAGTTTACTCTCCTTTCCCACACCTCCGATTAACACGGTTGGCTCCGTACGGTGCGAAAGAAATTCAACATGCATATACATTTTACACGTAGGCTTTCGCGACAAATATTATTCATAATATAGGTTTTTGGGTCAGATCGCGTTTTTTATAAATGTGTTGTCACCCTGAGGCTGCAACAGGAGAGCTTCGCCATTCTTCCCCAATGAAGCTGATTGTAATTATCAGCGAAACGTCGTACTCAAATTTAAAATGCTGTTGATCCTCTCTTCAGCACACCGGTGGGCTAAAGAAGTGAATTATTTTGTCCTTTGAAAACGTGACACATTTTTTACTGTTTGGCCGTGTCGGGTGGTGGAGGGTTACGACACAATTATAAATAACGCGATCTGACCCAAAAACCTATATTATGAATTCATATACATATTATACTCAAACAGCAAATTATGTTATTGCTTGTGACACCTATTTCTAAAGGGCCGATGGCTATTATGCTCATAAGCGCTGCGCGTGTACATTGACTGTTGTTAAATGGCTCGAGAAACGTTATACTTTATCCTTGTGGGACCTGCTCACGGACATGGTAATGAGATCAGTTCGCTGTGGAAGACTCGTTTTTTTGTTTGACTCGGTGTGTGTGAACACAGCTACAGCAAGGAGTGCAAAAGAAAGTGCTATTCTGCCGATGCCCTGAACACGTAGCAAATTGTCCCCACGTGAGGCATTCTCCAAGCGTGTTTGAGAATGGTGCATTAATCGTACATAAATATTTTACGCGAATGTTGATCATTGCATTTTGAAATAGGTTCCTTCTTTATGTGTATTATAGAGCGACATTTCCGTGGAAACAAGCCAGGCTCCTGCTGTAAATTTTCAACAAACCCATGCTGTGAACAAACCTCACGATGAACTATGCTGAATAATAATTGTAGCTCGTGCAAGGATGGATACAAAGTGGAAAACTTGAAAAGCATTTTCGGCCCAAGTATTTTGTCCGTGTCTTTTAAATATTCATCACAACAGCGTCCAATGCCATTTTCATCTGTGAAAAAGCCTTGGACGCCCGCAAGCGTGGCAGAGAATGATTCGCATAGTGTCTATTCCACAGTTCAAGGCAGAAACCTTGTTTACTGCTGCTGCATTGGGAGTTGGCATAGGATTTCAGACTGTTTCGCATTAGGCTCAGAGGCCAGTTTGCTGCCTCTAAGCTTTACCCGGCTGACCACGCGTGACGTTTCTAATTATAAACAATGCGTATAAGTGTTCTAATTAAAACAAATATGAGACCTTATACATTTATGAATAATTTCTTTCAGCACCTGATCTTGAGAGTTAGGGCAACTTAGCTTCGTGCTTGTGTCATCACTGAGCCAGCGTTGCTGGGATTATGGGTGTAAATCCAGGGCTCCAACCGGGGAGTTATTCAGGTTTTCACGTGTGTAGCGATTTTGATGGTTTCAGCTCAGTGGATTCTGTACGAATAAAATGTGTCGCTGAACGTGCGACTATTAAGGAACTCCAAAAATGTATATTTAGTGAGCGGCGCAATTAATTTTCTCACCGACTGACACATGCTCATATTTAGCTATTCGTTCTTAGGAAACGTTGCAATTTTTTTTTATCCTGGACATCCGAAATGACTCCCACAAACAGCAACATTTAAAAAGGAATTTGTCTAATTTCCTGAGCAGAATCCTTCTGAAAATAAAAAATAAATTAATATTTTCTTATGCATCTATATATTTTTTTACATTTCCCCCACACATGTTTAATCTCCATTGTGCTTTCGGCATGATGTCACGAGCTGTGTCGTGTCGTCATCAGCGCGGGTCTCTCGCAGAGCGGTGCATCCCTCAGGGAAGTGGATAACACAGAGCTACCTCTGGGGTCCCCTTCAAGTGACCACCTGGTCCAAATGGTAGAGGGCAGCACTTCCGAAAGAGAATATAACGACTCAAATGTGGGTTTCCTGGCAACATTAAATTCTGTTAGTGGCAATCGCTGCGTATTTATGAAGCGTTCTGTGTGTAGACTGGTCTGGTGCTAGATTTTCTGCTCTAATTTTCTCTGCTTCTGCTGCTCCTTTAATCACCACATGTACAATCAGTCAATGAACTTGAATTATAACTTGTTCAAAGTCTTCTTTTGCAAAGGATACCTGAGGTACACATACATGAAACAGCGCAGTACAATTGTATTTAATTTCAGAAATAAAACACAATGGTGAACCAAAACAATTATGGACCTAAACAGAAAAGCTATAATCAGATAAATACAAAAACGGTGCAACGAATTACAAAAACCTGTAAGTTCATCTGAATTACTAAAACATAAAATGAAATTTTTATTTTTGCCCCTTCAATCGCAGCCAACAGCTTCGTCATAATAAACGTGTTAAGCTCAAGAAATGGACGAGCCTAAAATGTATTTTGAAAATCATCCTCTTACCCCAAGAGCTGTAAACGGTGCCATGGTGGTGACGATGCGACTGCCTCCATTTTCATTCCAGGGACCTCTCTCACAACGGCCTGACCCGTCTCAACGAGGCCGCGTTCGTCGAGCTGGGCTCCCTGCAGAGCCTCTCGTTGGCTCACAACGCCATCAGCCACATCGTGGAGGGAGCCTTCCGCGGGCTGTCTTCTCTCCGTATCTTGTGAGCGCCCACCGGCACCCCAGCCGGCCACAAACAGGGTTACATTCAGCGTTGAGTTCAACACGGCAGGGCACAAGCTCTAAAGGATTTCATTTTCTTGCACAGGCTATGTACCTTGCTTGGATCGCTCTGAGGTTGGAATGTTTAATTGTTAATCTGAAGGTTCTGATACTGCTGTGTCGGTTTTCGTGGTTGTGCTGTATCGCGCTCCACTGTGTTTGCCTGTACGTCCCGCTGTGTTGTATCGCACGATCTTCGATGTCTTGCGCCACGTGCCGACGGTAGCTTACTCCGGCAAGTGAGAGGGCGACCCGCTCAATTCCTTCCCTGCGGAAGCTCTCAGCGCGTGTGGGGCGAATCGTCGGGCGAATTGTCCCGAACAAGACGCGGGAATGGGAAGCTAGAAGGTTCCGAATTTAACAGGCCTCTCACTGCACGGCATTGCCGACGTTAGATCGTTATGTTTATTTGGTGTCTGCGCAGCGGTGACTTTTTAGTATCATAATAAAGCCTACGCATTAAACTGGTCCAAATACCGGCCGGGTGTGGGGCCGTGCCAGTGGCAGATTGCAGAGACTGCGCGTTCCATAGCCATTCACGGGTTGAACCCATTGACCCTCCGCATTCAATGTAATGAGTACCACGTCATGAGAAGGCACCAGTGGCACCAGTAGTCGTCCTTTGGAGAGGTCGACGACCTGACCAAGTCAATGCGAAGTTTCCACCGTCGGCTCAGGCATGCCAGTAGATGTGATCCCCGGTGATCCTCGCAGTAACAAAGACGACCGCAGCGTCGCGCTGCACTTACAGATGTGCTTCTGCGGCCGTCTGGAACGTTCTTCCTTCCGATATTAGGAAGCTACTGGAGCTGTGCACTTTTAAATCTAGATTAAAAACTCATTTCTTTTGAACTGCTTTTTGTGCATAATAGAGGTTTTTTGGGTTAGATCGCGTAAATATATAAATGTGTCTGTAGTTAAAACCCGCCACCACCTGAAACAGCCAACTAGTAAGGGTTTTCACTTAAACAGAACATTCCAATTCGTCACTAGTACAGCACACCGGTGTGTTGGAGAGCCAAGCCACAACATTTACAATCTGAGTACGACATTTCGCCAGTAATTACAACTAGCTTCATCAGGCGACAGCCAGATTTGTGGAAAAGTCCACCTGTTTCGTTCCTTATATAGAGGCATAGATGTGGTGACCACCCTTCTGCGCTCTTGCACAATGTGGATGGGGGTGGGGGATTACTGAGGCAACGTACATTATGCATGTGCGTTATGCGAGGCCTTTGAACTTGTCCTTCCTGTCTATTGTGTTTATTAAAATAGCCCTACCAACAGTAATCCCTATTGAAGTACGCTGCCCTTTATAGGCATGCATTTAAATAATGTATTATTTGATTGTTCCCTTCCACGCAGCACAAAGGCGGTAGCTATCCGAATGGTCAAAGTCATTTTTTATTTCTTTCAGTTTCGATAGATTCTCTAATTAGTCTTGGCCAGTTGTAGCTAGTTTTGCACAAAACTTCAACATTATCAAAATAAATTGAGTGTCCTTGTTGGCACGCGTGTTCTGCTACTGCTGACAGTTGTATTTGGGAGAACTAGCTACTACTGGCCAAGACTAATTAGAGAATCTATCGAAATAGATTCTATATCTATAAAATTACTGCGTCATTTTACCGCAAAAAAATGCTCATATATTAACAACACTTGTGGGAAAGTAAGTACAGTAATGAGCTTTCAAAATGCTTTGCCTTCGCGTACTCTGCCTCCAGTACATTAGCACAAGTTTCTGTTTCGGTGAATTTTCTATAAATATATTATACAGCAATAGCGCAAAATGTGTTGGGGTCCACGGCTTTTTCCAAATCGTGATTTCCCCTTTGGCACCTGTGCTGCACGCAAGACGCGTTCCGTTTTTCTTCACGCCCGCCGTGAAATCGCCTTTGAAAAGGTGCGGACGACGCGCGGGGGAACGACTTGGGCACTTGTGACCGAACGCGACAGCAGAGTCAAGGGGGGGAGGGGGGTGCAAATATTCCTTGAGCAAGACTCAATTCCCTGAGCGGGGGGCACTTGAAGGGATGTGATCTCGTCTGTGTGCGGAGTGTTCATGTGGTTAAGTGATTATCCAAGGGTTCGACGCACTTGGCTCAACACGATGCCACTGCTCATCAGGATTGACTCTTGGCACCGTGCGCTCCGTTCAACTGCTCGCAGGGACTTGGGAGGCAACCAGATTTCCTGGACGGTGGAGGACATGCAAGGAGCATTCACGGGTCTCAGCGCCTTGAGCAAACTGTGAGTGTCGCGCAAATGTGAGCACGTGTGACCGACTGAGAGCAGCGGCAGTGGTTGCCAGGGATGGGCTAACCGTGAACTGGGTTTCATCCTCCTTTAGAACTCATCAGCATGGCGTAGTTACAAATGAGTACCGGTGACTATACTGTATTGATGAGTCCTACGAAACCGACCTGCAGTTGTTTATCACGACAATATTGCTGCTGCAGTGTTGCTGTGGTGGCCCAAGAAAAGTGGACCACAATGCACTTCTTCAGGAAATGCCAAAGTGTTTTTCATAATGCATGAAGGCTGTCTGCTTTCTTTATATTTATGCGTGCTGCCTAACACAAGGTGCAATGGGGTTGCAATGTGACGTTTCTTTGAACAACTAATAACAAAACCCAAAGTCAAGCCTGTTGCTATACCCGTTACTAAAGGAACCCGTGTATCATATGAATACAATTTGGATTTACAATGCATCTAAATGGAATTGCATACACAAGAATGTGGAGGGGTGAGGCTGGGTGGGGCGGGGGCACGTGCTGATAGGAGAATGACGATTGACAATGAGCTCTAAGGTTGTGGTGGAGGGAGGGTGGGGGTTGATGAAGTGACATTGTCAACCAAGGGATGGGTGAGAATAGAAAGGACTTTGAGCCACGGTCGGCTACATATGGTGCGAAACAAGTTCAACGTACGCACATAGATGCAGTGGGAGCGAGTCAGCAATGTGGACTATTAGTTCAAGACCGTGCAGCAATTGAGAGGAGAAGGGGCAATTTCTCTGTGAGCATTGTTCGACTGGGTTAGTCAACAGAGTGTTTTGTTTGCTGAAGTTGAGGCCACGTGGGGGTGGGTAGAGTGAGAAAAAAGAGGGTGGGTTAGAGGCGGGAGAGAGTCCACGGAAGATCGAGAAGATGACGACGACGATGATGATGACGATAATCCTGTCCAATAGTTGAGATTTCTAGCCGGTGAAATTATCTGAGGTTCAGGATTAAGTTGACATGGGGCGAGTGTGGGTAGCTGATGAGAAGTTCAATAAAGAGTTACAAACATGAAGACGATTATAATATTATAGCCTAGCAATTAAATTACTCTTCGGGAATATACTTGTAGGCACTAACATATGAATGCACAGGTAACCACGTGTATAGCTCAATGAAGGGAGCACAAGTGAAAGTGCACAATCGATCCAGGTACACTGGAACTCTCATACACGTGCACATGCGAGGCACGTTCACCTTGAGTAAACTGTGAGTGTTGTGCAAATGTGCGCAACTCAGAGCAGCAGCAATGGGCGCAGTGATTGGCAAACTGTGGAGCGGGTTTCATCCTCCTTTAGGACTCGGCGGCACAGTCGTTACAAATTAGCAAAATTGCAATCTCGATCCAGATACGCTGGAACTGTTATAACAACAACAACAACAACCGCCATTCGCCACTAAGTGAAGGAGACGTCACCACGCCGCCTGTGCCAGGCCAGGTGCACGTTGAGGCCACGTAAAGTGTCGAAGGCTCGCTGGCAGGAGGTCGCGGGGACAGACCCCGGTGCCATGGGTTGGCTGACTGAGATGACTGACTCTTATAGACCACACAGACACACACAGACACATTTAACCTCCCCCCGGCCCCTCCCTACTCGATACCATAAACTCCATCTCCATCTTGCCACTCGTAAAATAGTGCGACGGGGAGAAGGCATTGTTAAATGAAGGTCAATTGGAGCCTTGGATGTTGAGGTTTCTCATCAGTGTGCACTCAAATGCCAATAAACTAGGAGGATCCCAGAATGCAACTTAACATCACCCGTTCCACGAAAGGTTGCAGTCCTCTTTGGCCCGGCTTTTTTGGGGGCAGAAGAAAGTATTTCGGGAAATAAAGCTTTCCTTTCAGTCGCAGCCTCTCATTAAATATGGATGAGGTTGGAAAAGGGTAACTGGAGACAACCCGTGCATGACAGCACTTCAAGAGGGTGTCGGAAATGTGAATCGCCGTGCTGGCATAATTCCACACACAAAGAAACGACTTTGTCAATCAATGCGAAGAATGCAGCCCCGCATTGCCGGGTGTGCGTAACACGCGTATCGTTTTTTTTAACGGGCACAATTATAGCGTTGTTATTATCATTATTGTGGAGGGCTTTTATTTGTTTATGATGCATTTTATTTGATTCGCCATTTTTTTTTGCCATCTCTAAAATTGTTCGACGGTAATTTAGTCCGTCTCGGCCTCATTAATATGCATGTGGACATTTCCTAATGTGAATACAGATGCCCCCTGTCTAGACGTGATGATAATACTTGGCAATTTGGCATTTGGGCGTATTTTAAATGAGTAGTCAAAACAAATCATTGGAAATATGTATAAGTCAGTAAGGTTACCAGCTGGTCTTTACCACCAGGTTTGTAAATATCCCCAAGTAAAGCATGAATCTGCATATTCCATTTGGTCTTGATCTCTTGAATGTGTTTGTTTATTGTTTGTTTCGATTTAAAGCTTTCGTGACTGCAGGAATTCATATTCTTGGTTCTTTCGGTAAAGTCACGAAGAAGGGAAACAATAAAATAAAATGAATATTATTTCCCTTCTACGTGACTTTACCGAAAGAACCAAGAATATTGTTTGTTTGTTTAGTAGTTGAGCCACCCAGGCAATTTGACAGCACAGACTTAGATATTTTTCTCGACTCATCACTATATCAACAAATAATTACATTTATTTAAGAACGCACAATTAGTCAAGAAGAAATGAGCAATTAATAACAAGATTTGAAACTACTTTTTTTTTTACAACTTAAAATCCTATCAATGATTCTAAATGCTGTCTGGGACACTGTTACATTATTGAACCAGGCCTGCTGTTTGAATCACCGGTTTTGAACCACATTGTCTCCCAAGGGGAAACAAGTCCCTGAATGCTGTCTATCGCGGTGCGGTGCACAAAGTAAAATGTCCCTTCACGTGATAGAAACGTTGGTGAAATAAAGAACCTCGGTAAATAAACGGGAAAGAGTTTCTACGATGGCCTTGTAACATATTGCACGTGACTTAGCTCCCAGGCAGTCTACTTTCCTCCATTAGCCGGCTACAACAAGCCTTTGTTATTAATTTTAGTAGACATTAAACAACAACAACCGCCATTTGCCACTTAGTGGCCATGACGTCACCGCAGCGCCTGTGCCAGGCTATGTGAACTTTCGGGCCACGTGAAGTATCGAACGCCCGCTGGCAGGAGGTCACGGGACAGATCCAGATGCCACGGGTTGACTGACTGAGATGACTGGCCGATGCATCATCTGTGCCCCCCTACTATGCCAACTTGCTGTGTTTTACTGCGTGAATAGTCATAAACAAACACACACATGCAAGGATAAACGGTTGTAAATTACTTTGTTTTGCAGTTTGGTGTTCAAGACCATTTTTGTGAATACATTCTTCGCCAGAGCCATTTCATTGTCCCAAAGCCATGTGTTTTTGTAGTAACCACAAATCACGGAACGGCGTGGATAATAATACACAAATTATACGCTCTTGTTTGTTGCACCGCGGGATCGTGAGCAATGTCTAAGGCTTGCAGGAGACCTCCATCCAGCAGTGGATTGATGATGGATACTGCCGAGGAACAATTTTGCATAGTTGATGTCAAGGCTCATAGGCTGAGATACGGATGTGATATTTTCGACAAAGTTCTGACTGAAGAGAAAGCAAGCGTAAATAATGGCAATTATTACGGGTTGCGATACATGTCCTTTCTTATATTTGTTGTTTTTTTCGGTAAAGTTACGTAGAAGTAAAATAATAAAAATTAAACATAATAAAATTCTCACGACGTTTGAAACATTAGGACGCTGTCTTTCCGACAGCTGTTTCTTCACCTGAGGACGGCTGTTTGCATTGTGGCTGAAACGTCGTGAGAATTGTATTTTATTATGTTTTATTTTATTATTTTATTATTTCCCTTCTACGTGACTTTACCGAAAGAACCAAAAACATGAATCCCTGCAGTCACGAAAGCTTTAAATCGAAAAATGTGCTTTGTTATTCTACTTTTTTTTTGTTCTCAACAGAAGCCTGCATGGAAACCAGATAAAGTCGATTGCTAAAAAGGCCTTCGTGGGACTGGAGAAACTGGGACAGCTGTGAGTACCGTGTGGGTGGTGCACAACCACCCCTCTTTGGAACGTTTTTTTATCGAGGCCTGCCTTTTAAAATGAATCACTGCATCGGCATGTGTATCTAAGAACACCTGCTCCGCAGTCGGCATTACAGGCATTAGTAATAATTCTGAAAAGTAATTGAAAAAAATTGGTACACCATGTGTTGTGAGCATGTGGGGAGCGGGCGGTGGTGTAGGGGTTCACGCTACGCTGCGCTTCGATTCCCGCTCACGGCCGACACCAGTGAAATTATCTGAAGCGGTCCTGGGTCTTCTCTAGTGTGGTGTGTAGTTAACATCGCCACTAGGGAGACAAAGGCGGCCGGGCGTGATGCTGGCCACCCACCCCCTCGTGTGCTGTGCCGGCCTTCATAGGTGCTCGCTAACAGCACATTTGCCGCAACAGTCTGTTAAGGCTACACGGGGGATCTTTGTCTTTGTTATTGTGCACGGATTGGCAATGGTTGGGTAGTCATTAGTGAACTCCACACTAAGCTCTTGAAAACCTGGGTTTGATTCCCGACCATGCAAGACTGCTGCTGGCAGTCGGTAATCTGGATTTGTCCTTGGTCTCTGTGCGGGACAATTGAGGCTGAAATTCGTTTTTTGCAGAATGTGTTGGCATTAACACCGGGGGAGACAAAGGCTGCCAACAACAGATATGGTCTGGGCCTAACCACAACAATGTGTGGTGTGGTTAGGCTAAATAGGAGTTCGCTAACAATTAATCCAAACACTCTGTCATGCTAGTCTGGAGATAATTGTCTTAAAAAATACATGTTTTGCTACATATCATCAATTTGTTACTGAATTATATGCTTGGTGTCAGGGTTACTTAAGGGTCTGTATTTGTGTAGATACGGAATGGACTGCCTCATACTCGCTGCATCTCTCCGTATGCGTATCAAGCAAAACAATAAAACGGATGAATGCAAATTGATTAGTATTTTGATATTAATGTGAATTCTGGCATATATGTACGAAGTTGATACTATTATCACATTCCTAACCTATTATTCCTTCTTGAAGCATATTAAAATAATTAAAAGCAGCTGTTTCTACATTTCACGAAAAACGTAATTTTAATTGATACAGACACTGCATATTATGCTGGTTATTTGTATACTTGTTTTGAATGAGCCAATTACATCTACAATGTTAGTATGTATTTTGTATTCCTCTGCTATGGCTACCGTGGTGGTGAGATGTTAACTCCCTTGCCTGGTATACAGGAGGTTTTGGGTTCGATCCCGACCCTGACCTTTGTATATTTGGAGCTTGTGTGTCTCTTTCCCTGTGGTCGCGTGGATTTGTATCTGTGTCCTCCGGTTTTTCTCTCCACATTTAGAAACATTCATTAAGAGTATGTGGCAACTAAACATTTCCACGTGATAAGCCACTTCGTTGTGGCCAGATCACTTCTGACAAAGAGCTGCATAACTCAGTGAGCTTTATTTGTTAAAATAAATTTTTTTTGTTTCAATGGTTTCAGATTATTATTCTTCTTCTTGCACATCTCGGAATATCTTTATTTTCCTTCAGAGACCTGATGGGCAATGCAATCGTGTCAATACAAGCCAACGCCTTCAACACACTCAAGTTGCTTCATCAGATGTAAGTATACTCGGCGATACAGTTCGACGTCATATCTCGTTTAAAGTCAAAGCAAGGTCAAAGTGTTTTCTGCTTCAGAGGAGTGGCTGTGACAGTGCTCAACTCTGAGTCAGTGTCACACATTCCACATCTACCTAATGTGGGGCCCAGTCTCTATTCAAAGAACAGCCACTGTTGACTATAACACAATGTTTGTTCATGGGTAGTAAGTGTTGTTTCGTAATTGATTATGCCTAAAAAGTATAGAAAACGGCTATTATTCCCCACCAACTTTGCTTTTGTGAACAGGACAGTGATATTTTGAAATTTACATATTTTCAATGAGAAAACGGGCGAATTTATGTCTTTTCGTTCACATAAAGTGAGAACAAAACAACATATGAATCAGGGGCGGTTTCTTCATTAGGGTGATTGGGCGACGCACCACCAATGTCATTCAACCACAGAGTCACGCTAGCCGTCACTGTCAGCCTCTGGATATAGTCCAATCAGCGTCATGTCACGTTCTGTGGAGTACCGCCTCTTTTTGGGCGATTTCACTCCGGCTGAGAATCGCCCCGTGTGACCCCATAGACTTAATTCAAAGATGTTTTTTTTCAACCGGGGGGCGCTCCAATGCATTCTCTATGGTTTCCGGGAGGGCTCGCCCTTACGTGCTTACGTCATCATACGTGCTCACGTCATCATACGTAAGCACGTTTCATCCAACAATATAATTTGTGGCCACCTAGTGGAATCTTTAATAAAATAAACTTGAGTGGTTTGTTTAAATAGTGAGTATAGAAACAAACAAGATGTATTGTAAGAGTCACTTTATTTTTCATTAATATTAAAGAAGTGAAGTTGCCTTTACATGCTTAAGCTGTTAATTTATCCATTGCATGGGTGGACCTTATCCTTATCAATCATCCAGACATTTGCCCCCCCTGAGAGATTTTGCAGGAGCCGCCACTGATATGAATCAAACCTTTATTTATGCTAAAGTAATACAAAATTACTGCAAAAGATTTTGAAGTGAGTAGTTTTTCGTGATGTATGATTATACTGTAAATCACTTTCACGAATCAGCCCCCAAATGTAGTCTCCCATTATGTTCTCGTTATACTGTCCTTGGTAGCGGCGTTCAAAGTCCAGTATATCCTAGTGGAAGCGCTCGCCTTGCTCCTCCGAGTACACTCCCATATTCTCCTTGAATTTATAAACATGAGCATCAAGGATATGGACTTTGAGGGACATCCTACAGCCCATTGTGCCGTAGTTCTTCACCAGTCTCAATCAGCTCCACATAGTTTTCGACCTTCTGATTGCCCAAGAAGCCACGAACCACTGCGACAAAGCTGTTCCGAGCCGCTTTCTCCTTACAAGTGAGCTTCTTGGGGAATTCATTGCACTCCAGGATCTTCTTTATCTGTGGTCCGACAAAGACACCGGCTTTGACCTTTGCCTCAGACAGCTTAGGGAAGAAGTCTTAAAGGTACTTGAAGACTGCCGACTCCTTATCTACAGCTCTAACAAATTGTTTCACAAGGCCCAATTTGATGTGCAGTGGTGGCATCAGCACCTTCCGGGGGTCCACCAGTGGCTCCCACTTGACGTTGTTCCTCCCCATAGAGAACTCGGTCCGCTGTGGCCAGTCCCGCCTGTGGTAGTGCGCCTTGGTGTCTAAATCTTTTGTAGACATTTTTGTATTACTTAAGTTTAAATACATGTTAATTTTGATTTATGTTATTTTTTTCTGACTTTATGTGAACGAAAAGACACGAATTCGCCAGTTTTCTCATTGAAAATAGGTACATTTCAAAATATCACTGTCCTGGTCACAAAAACAACGTTTGTGGGGAATAATATTCATTTCCTATACTTTTGAGGCATCAGCAATTACGAATTAATGCTTACTACCCAGGAACATTTTTGTTTTATTACAGTGTAATCCTGGCGTTGTAACCACAGTGCCACATTGCTGGAACTATGCGGGTTTAGTGGTGCTTGAAATGTAATTTGTTTAAAAGCCTACATTCATAATTGTAAATGACCTCCATATTATTTCAATTAACCTGCTTTTATAATAGTTTAAAGGCGTTTTCCCACTTTCACTTAAATGTTTTACAACACAGCACTATTTCAGTGTACGAAGTATGTGCACATATTCCCATACAAAGACAAAGATCCCCCATGTAGCCTTACGAGACTCTTGGGGCAAGTGCCTTCATAGTGCAGGAGCCCTCTGAAAGTCGGCACGGCACACGAGGGGGATGGGTGGCCAGCACCACACCCGGCCGCAGCTGTCTCCCCAGTGGCGATGTTTACACACTCATTTGAGGCCGAGTCGACCTAGGGGAGGCCCTGGACTGGTTCCGATAAATATCACTGGTGTTGACCGTGAGCGGGAATCGAACTTGGGCAAGCCGGGTTTGTGGCGCAGCGCGAAAACCGTGCCACTACCACTCCCCACGTGCACACACACACACGGCGTACCACACACGCGCGCGCGCACACGTGCCCACACACGCGCACACACAACGGGCACGTCTCCACGTACCCATAGTAATAGTGCTTTCTCGGAGGAGAAACTCGACAGAGGGAACTTGTTGATTGTTGTATTAGAAGCTCTGTCGTGACTTTATTGGCATTTGGCCTGAGCAGGATTTTTTTTTTCTTCAGCCCTGACCCAAAACCCCAGAAGGGAAAAGTGGTTTCATTCCGTGTGGTTTTTCTTTCCGTCTCTGTCGTTGACGTTGCTACAAGTTGGCGAATCTGATGAATGTGTATAAAAGCATACAAATATGTAACAAGTAAAAAAAGCGTAATCTGGCTTCCAGCTATTAGTTAAATAGTAATGCAGTGATAATAGTGGAAAGCTACATTAAAAGTAGGGCAGTGGTAATAATGGAACGTTACATTAAAAATAGGAGACTCTGTGCCGCCTTCAATGCATAGCCCACGCGCAAGGTCACAACCCGAATTTTTGCCAAATAACAAAAAAAAAGAAGTCGAATGGGAATTGCGCTTTTGGCTTTCGGGCAGATTGCTAAAGGTGAAAAGCACGGTCCTGTGCTAAAGTGGTAATCCTTGTGTTACAACGGTCGCTCAGGCCCGGTTCATGAACCAGCCTCCTTCGTGCGTTATTGATCCTCCACAATCGAGAGTGTGTGTGTGTGTGTTCCCATTTTCTGGACTGCCCTAAGCCGCGTGAACTCTGGTCGGCCCTAGCATCGTGCCGCGACTCCGGCATGCTGTGGCATGAGCCCATGTTCCCTTCGCTCGCACGCCGTTGGATGGACCCGAGTGTGAAGTGAGGGTCGTGTATCACACGGAATCATTATCGGCTCCGTCCAAGCCCCACCGCTGTGTGTACACGTACGTCCGCCGAACTTCTTTCGCACCGTACGTAGCCAACCGTGCGCATCGGAGGTGTTGGCGTACTGCCCAGCTGCTGCCTTTCCACCCTTTGGCTGTGGTTCCTCCTCATACCACTGAATAATTCTCTCACTCCGAGAATGAACGAATACTGTGTGTCCTCTTACTGGTTTGAGATTATCAGGGGTGCGGGGAAGGACAACAAACTTAACAACAACAACAAGCGGTTCTAATGTGCTCGCATTCACAGTTGCCGTGCATCTTTGTGAAAGGATTGTGTGTGTGTGTTTGTCTGCAAATACATGCAAATGTTTATCAATAGATAATTAGCTATGCTGGTTGAAGGTGTGTCTATCATCTGGCTCTTAGAGTAACTGATCTAACAATAAAACTTATTGGGTTTTATCTTCCTGTGACCTGAAAAAACATCACGGTTTGGCGAAATTTCAAGTATAATGTCGAACATCATTGCTGTTTCCTTCCATTCTGACTTTGAAAAGCAAGAAGGTGAATATTCTAGTCGTTAAAATCCTTATTGAACTGGCTCCATTGGGTTGACAGGAAGGTTGCATCGACTAGACCAAGATGGTATAGTTGTGAAAATAAAGTTATCATTTTAATTATTAGAAGTTACATTACTTGCAACAACTTTAATTTTCCTCGTTCACTTCTCTGGATTGATTCTTGCGAAAGCCAAAGCTCATACAAAGGCAAAGGTTAGCGAGGAGCACCTGTGAAGGCCGGAACGGCACACGAGGGGGTGGGTGGCCAGCAACACGCCCGGCCGCCTTTGTCTCCCCAGTGGCGATGTTTACACGCCGCACCAGGTACTCATTTGAGGCTGAGTCGACCTAGGGGAGGCCCAGGACCGGTTCAGATAATCGTCACTGATGTTGGCCGCGAGCGGGAATCTAACTCGGGTCGCTAGGTTCCTAGCGCAAACCGCTTCACACAGACACACAGGAATCACGCCAACGGAATAGAAAACCTGGATTCCGCTGGATTCGTAGCACAGTGTAGCGCTAACCTCAACACTACCGCTGCCTACAATAGACATCTAGACACACGCACACACGTGCACAAGTTACACACATACGCAGTACGGTCAAACAGCTTGTACATGCACGGCAGAATCAGTGTAACATTCCTTTGGGAAATTCAGTGCAGTCTAGCTTTTCCCCTCTTGTTTCCATGGCCAGCTCAAGGATCCACATTTCCCCCCAGCCGACATTCATAAGAGGTCTATGCTGCGTAGCTGCAGCAGCAGCAGCAGTATCACATGGTGCAGTATTTGTCAGTGTTTCCAACGTGCTGATGAGGCCAACTCACTTGGCCTCGCAGTCGAGATGGGCCAGGTTTGTCTCTCCCCATCAAGGCGACTGCCGAAACCGCTCGTGCAAGTTTCTTCACTGAAACCACGCGGTGCTGTTTCCACTTTTGAAGGAGCCAAACAAGTTATTTTCTGGTTCACAAAAATTAACAAGTTGTGGTTTTGCTGCCCACGGTGTAATCGTTAGCACACCGTACTTGCCATGCAGGGGTCGTCGGTTCAATTCGATGCCCGGGCACGGCAGTTGAATCAATGGTGCAGGTTTTTCCTAAATCCCCACCCCGGCCACTGCCTCTGATTACACGGCTGGAGTGACTGGGTTCCACCACAGTTTGTCGATGGCCAGAACTTCGCGCGGCGGTGGTGGTGGTGGTGTAAGATATCAGTGCTTCCCACCGCTTCCCACCGCTTCCTAGACATGTGTGGCCTGCGTAGCAGAGAGGGGCCAAATATCTACCCGAAGTATGTACGTTGAACTTCTTTCGCACCGTATGTGTAGCCAACCGTGCTCATGGGAGGAGCTTTCCAGAGATCCCGACTGCTGAGGTTCCTTCCACCAGCAGGGTCATGAGCAAGACATTTCAGGGCTGTACCCTTTAAAACATTTTTTTTAACAAAAACAACGCAGTTTTAAATAAAACTGTTCAACTATTATGAACAATTTCCTATTTTACCAGGTAAGGCCCACTGAGCTATATAACTCTTTTTCAGAGGCGACCTGGCCACAAATGATAGCTCAACGAAGTGGCCAAATACTCAAAACGCACGTTGATTCTAAATGCGGAGGAAAAACCGGAGGACCCGGAGAAAAATCCACGCGACCATGGTGAAAACACGCAAACTAAACTCCAAATATACAGCCGCAGGCGTCAGGGTCGGGATCGAACCCACAGCCTCCTTCATTCCAGGTGAGGTAGTTAACATCTCCTAGCCACCGTGGTGATGATGATGAGAGACACGCAAACTCCAAATATACAGCAGCAGGCATCAGGGTCGGGATCGAACCCACGACCTCCTGCATTCCAGGCGAGGTAGTTAACATCTCCTAGCTACCATGGCACCCCTTCAATGAAACCCGGGGGGGGGGGTAGGGGTGGTCTTGTAGCGGGGCGAAGCGACTCGGACTCGCATACTCGCTGATCCGTTTGAGCACGCGGGCGATCGCGGTGCGAGCACGAAAGCTAAAACAAACCCCGTCTGAAGAGGAGGCCCACACGCCCACGGCCATGTGACCAATCTCTCTATTTCTCTCGTCTCCTGCGCCACTGCCGCCTTAGGAAGCTGAACACCAGCGAGCTGCTCTGCGACTGCCAGCTCAAGTGGCTGCCCGGCTGGCTGACGGAGCGCGGCTTTCGCGCAGTCGGTGGCCGTCGCCTGCGCCCACCCGGCGTGGCTCAAGGGGAGGAGCGTCCTCTCCGTCCGGCAGGAGAACTTCGTGTGCGGTGAGCGACTACGCACGCACATAGTGGCTGGGTACCAAATACAAAGATGCCCCGTATCGCCTGAACAAACAGACTGTAGGGGCAAGTTCTGTCAGCGAGCACCTATGAAGGTCAGAACGGCGCACGAGGGGGTAGGTGGCCAGTACGACGCCCGACCGCCTTTGTCTCCCCAGTGGCGATGTTTACACACCACACCAGGTACTGCTTTGAGGCTGAGTCGACCTAGGGGAGACCCAGGACCGGTTCAGATAATCGTCATTGGTGTTGGCCGTGAGCGGGAATCGTACTCGGGTGGCCAGGTTCGTAGCGCAGCGCGCTTACCGCTACACTGCCACCACAGGACACACGCACACACACGTATGCACGTACGCTCTCTGGGGCTGCGAGGTGGCCCTGTGGAAGAGGGTGCAGCAAGTCAGGTTGCTGAGCTATTCGAGGAGGGTTTTAACCTTCCCCTGTCAAGTTAACCCTTTCCCGTTCCGAGTCGCAGGGTGGGCGTCCCATTCACCTCCGAATCACGGAATGCACAAGCGGTTCAGCATTAATTTTATTTAGAGGCGTAGTGCCGTTTAAAAAAAGACAAGAACCGCATTGTGCACACACGCCCTCCCGCCATGGCCTTGTGGGAGCCTCGGTACCGATAGTTATTTTATTAGAGGTTTTCCTCCGGTTTCGTTTTGAGAACATTCACGTACGATGACGTCATCGTACGTCATCCTACGTCATCGTACGTGTACGACATCGTACACGTAAGTTCGATGACGTAAACGTACGTCATCGGATCGGGAAAGGGTTTATATATGCAGCCAACGCTGGTAGAAGGGGCTTCCACTTGAGCGGAAGCTCTGGAGAGCCCCCTCCCTGGCGTGTTCATTTGGCCGACTCTTCCACACTTACCAGACAATCTGTCCAAGGGGTGAGAGTACCCACACTTTCACCCCTCCACATTGCGACCTGCCGACAGACTTGACCGATGCGTAGGTAGTGATTGGACGCTGAAATATTGCAAAGTAATTCATCAACTGTCTCAATGAAACAGAACTGAGGCCCAGTCTCGGCTTTTCCCTCGCTGTTTTGTAAAGTAATTAATCTGCACTCCAAAGCATCAACACATTGTGTTTCTTGTGTGATACGTTTTACTTTTTGCGTTGCGTAGCAGCACCAACTATAATTATAATAAAACTTCAGCAAGAATGATAATTGAACATTTTATGCACATTTTCACGGCTGTGTGTGTGCGTGTATATAAATATTTTTTTCACGAACAATAAATGCTTAAAAAATTAAAAAAGCAGTTTTGCAAACGGAAATAAATGCAGTTATCATATGTTACATATGCTAAGCGTGTGGGAATACAGACTGCTTTTTGAACCCTGCTGAACATTATAATGGCTTGTGGTTGGAGGGAAAGAGCAATATAAAAACTGGTAGCTTTATCAGGCCTCCATGTTATGAAGTCCAGTCTCCAACTCTCATTATAATTGTTATCATCAACCCTATCTCTCCAGTAACGTCACCTGTTCTATTTTTTTATTTTAATGCCGCAGTGTTTTTGACGAATGATTCGAATTTATTTGTTATTTCCTATGGTAAGGAGGGCTGCCACTACTGCGTGTACCTTAGCCAACCGTGCTAATTGGAGGTGCGCGGGGGAAGGAAAACAAACTAATAAACACAAAAAAGCAGTTCTAAATAAATTAGCTTTCAATCTCGATAATTTAAAAGGTCATAGCTCCAGCGGCTTCCAACTATCGGAGGAAATGGCATTCCAGACGGCCGCAGAAGCGCACCTGCAATGCCGTGACCGTCTTTGTTCGATGGCCGGCCAAAATCCGCTGCTACTGCGAAGATGACCGGATAAATGATGCAGCTCCCCTGCCCTTCAGAATCTGAGCTTGCACACTGACCTTGGGAGAGGCTGCCACCGAATACTGTGTCTGGAATCAAACCCAGGGTCGCAGGCACGGACAGCGCATCAACGCCCGGGCCGACCGCCGCGCCAGCGCCCCCGTCGTCCGTCATAATTCTTGAAGTCACCGTGTAAAAGCAAGCATGACGTATCGCCTCCTATCTCGCGAGTTCAGCGTTGGCACTTTCATGGAAAATGAGAACGGATGTGATTGACCCCTTCTCCAAGGGGCTTGGCGGCTACCCACCCCCCTCCCTCACCATCGCTCGGTGCCCACAGCGACCGTTGCTGCTCGTTCCCCCGATGCGTTTGTGCGCCCTAACGATCCGGCGATGCTGTTGGCGCAAGTTTCACGAACGTGCGCCTGAGTGTGTGTTCTTCTTGAGCGGTTAGCGAAGGCGGTTGGTGCAGCTGCCATTACGAACCTTCTCCACCGGAGTTCGATTCCCGCTCGCTGTCAACGCAAGTGTGATGTTTATCTAAACCGGTCGTGAGACTCCCCTAGATCGACTCGGCCTCAATTGAGTAGCTCGTGCGATGTGTGAACATTGGCACTAGGGAAACAAAGGCGGTCAAGAGTGGTACTGGCCATCCCCCCTTTTTCGTGTGCCGTGCCAGCCTTCGTAAATGCTCGCTAACAGCACTTGCTCCAGCAAACTGTTCAGGCTTTCGAGGGATCTTTACGTTTGTTCTATTGGAGTTATTAAGAACCCTCTGTACAGAGGTCACATTTATATTCACAAAATGCCTGCATGGGTGGTGGTGGACCTGTACCCGTGTGTGTGGTGGTGGACCTGTACCCGTGTGGGTGGTTTTGGACCTGTGCCCTGTGTGCCCGTGTGCAGACGACTATCCCAAGCCGCACATGGTGGTGCACCCGGAAACTCGTGCAGCCGTGCGGGGCTCCAACGTCTCCTTCATGTGCTCGGCCGCCTCGAGCAGCGAGTCGCCCGTCACCTTCCTGTGGCGCAAGGACAACGCGCCGCTCGCAGAGGTACGTACGTACGGTGTGTATGTACGTACATGCATTGTGTTTGTATGCATGTATGTTGTGTATATACAGTACGTAGAACTTCTTTCCCAGCGTACGTAGCCAACCATGCCTATATGAGGCACGAGACACAATAAACTAAACACAAAAGTAGTTATGAAGAAATTTCTTTTCAATCTAGATCTAAAAGTGCATTGCTCCAGTGGCTTCCCAATATCGGAAGGAAGAGCGTTCCAGACGGCCGCAGCAGCCGCATCTGAAAATGCGCAATGCGGTGACCGTCTTTGTTCGATCGTTAGCCAAAAGCCGCTGCTGCTTCAAGTGATGGTGGTTCATGCCTGTTGACGAAATCAGCGAGGCATTGTGGTTAATTTGTGGCACCCACTTTTGTGCGTCACGAGCGCGACCTTCTCAACGTTTTCGTTCACCGCCGCCATCCGTCACCGCTCTAGGGTTTCCGCGATAAAAACAAAAAATATTTCACGATGAAGATGCGAGCATTGTATTTCGCGTTGTCGACGGTCGTCGCGTTGTCAGCTTCACGCCACTTTTATAAACTCGTATTCCACTGTTTTATTTGCGTGGTCTACACGCTTTGCTGTTCTTCTGTTGTGAGTGAAAATTACCAAAGGCATACAACTGTAGTTGCCGCGACATAAGCCTACCACAAGTCATGTAATCATGCACGTTCAACAACAACAACTGCCATTCGCCACTAATTGGCGGATGATGTCACCAAGGCGCTTGTGCCAGGATATGTGCACTGTAAGGCCACATTGCACATTCACAACCAGTAATACGCCCGTGCTGTCCGATGCACTTTAAGCAATTCAATTATCGGAAAATGCAATCAACTGCGGAAATGATGAGGTCACGCAACTATAATGCCGTCAATTCATCTGCAAAACATGTTGCTAAAGTACCCATTTAAAGGGTAATAAACTATGTAGGACGTTTAATTTTGTCTTCTCTTATTACCTCATTAATATTTTGTCGGGAAGGAAAATATTTGAGATAACAAAAAAAATACGTGACAATGTTGAACAAAATCGATGTTTTGCCGTGATACTTGGTATCCTGATACTGTGACATATCGGAGTTTCTCAGTATCACTGGAAATATGATCTTAAATCCATCCGTTTCTCAATGGAAGGACGTCACAAACGTTTTTGATGAAGACTCTGAAACCAATCGCTACGCAACTTGCCTCGCAGCGTATCGATGGCAATGCTCGTATTTGTGTAACTATTTGGCAAGATTGGCGACGAAATCCTTTCAGCAAAGTGTTTTTCATCATCATCATCATCAGCAGCAGCAGCGCCAGCAGCCATGTTGGTTAAACTGCTAGTTCAGGATCTCCTCACGTTGTCACCAATCCCCATGGTCCCACCACGCCACAACACATTTTTTCCCCTCGCATCAGCCGATCTCATCTCTCCATCTCTCTATGCTGGTCAACCTCATGGGAGCGTTCCCCTTAACACTGTTGATGCCTTGCTCAGTTGCAGAGTGAATAGCAGCTATCAGTTACAGCAGGGTGGGTGTGAACTCGCCTGCCGAATCTGCGATTCCGTTTTTTTTTGCTCATCTGCGTCGTTCCACGTGCGCATTTGTTGGTGCGTCCGAATCTCATAGCAGGCTCTTTAAACCTTTCCCATTGTGATGACGTACGTGTACGTCATTGGAACGTATCATAGAGTGTGGCCGTGCCGCTCCAGTTCTCTGCGGTGAGTACAATGTCTTTAACAAACAAGGGCGCTACGCCTTTCTAAATGAAATTAACGCAAACCGCTTGCGCGTTCTGAGATTCAGCGGTGAACGGGGACACCCACTCTGCAACTTGCAGACCTCTGGGAATGGGAACGGGTGAAGTTGTATAGCCAGGTTGTTTAAATCCTCACCAACAAGATACATTATTAACACGTGGAAATATCTCCTTCTGCATTATCACGCTTTCTGATAATGTGCTGGATGCGCATGTCAACATCTGAGTAAGCATTTTTATTTTTTCAATGCACTCCACTTACGTTGACTTTTTTCCACCGAAAAATGTCACAACACCCTTCTCGTCCCTTTCTATGCGCCTGCTACGTTTGGTCTTCATACCGGCTCGTTAAAAGTTCGCGGAGATGCATCAAAGTTATAAATCTGACATGTTATGGCATCTTGTGACAAGAGCTTGGGGGATCCTCGAGTAGATACGCTTTGCATTATTGAAACATGGCTTAAGGCTCAGAAATTCCGAGGCTCGAAATATTTGTGAAACTCCCGAGCGGGCGGAAAGTTTTCCGCATTTACTGTTTGCGCAGCAAACCGTGGCCAATGAATCTGTGTCACCGCTTTGGAAATTAAGCCCGGAACACCTGTGTTTATCGTTCTGAACTCGGCTGCCCTTCAAAATGAGACCATCGGCCTTGAGAGCTGTTGGCCTTGCGCAAGATCCAACTTGTTCGTATTCGAGTTGCACTGGAGAATTCCTAAAGTTGTAGACCGCCAGATGTTACAATTACGACGAGAAATATGTTGCGCATTATAAACAACAAATTCTGGCAAATGGCCGTCCTTCACCCGAAAAGATCAACATTACTACCTTTACGATAACTCAAGTTTAATCTTCAGCCCCTTCGTCCGCCCACTGTTGTATGAACGCCTCGCCATGGCTTTATTGGTCATGGGGGTTTTAATTGACCATACTTCACCATGGTGGTCAGTTCCGGTCGGTGTAGGGGAGCCCAAGACCGGTGCATCAGATATCACTCTGCGCTGGTTGTTAAATACAGACGGCAATTGAGCTCAAATACTCTTTGGTTCTTTCGGTAAAGTCACGTAGGTAGACCACAGCAAGAAAAACGTTCTTGCTCTGGTTGTCCCCCCTGATGAAAATTGCTTGTGTTGCGATCGAAACGTCGTGATCTATTATTTTTCTACCTACGTGACTTTACCGAAAGAACCAAAGAGTATGGATTCCTGCAGTCACGAAAGCTTAAAATCAAGATTGAATTGAGCTCAAGTTGCCAGATTCATAGTGCAGTGCGCGAACCACTGTACCGCCGCTCCAACCCACTACCCACATGCAGAGCATTTAAACGTTGTAATTAAGTTAATATAACATCCGCAAGATGTGGCTCATGGCTGAAGCAATTAAAGGAGGCGCGCAGAAGGTACTTATAATTGATCATATTTACACAAATGTCGAAAGCACACGAAACTTTGTTCAGTTCAGTGTCGTTCATAACAGCCTCGATGCATTTTCAAGGGATGCTGAAATAACAAATGCAGTCAATTACTTTCGAGAATAAATGTATACACGCGAGTGCTTGTGGCGGTGGCATTCGCAATCTATTTTTATTTTTTTGTTAAATGTTCAATTGGCAAATGGGTTGTGCCGGCACGTACTTTCGGTGATGTATATGTCTATATGAAGCCCATGCATTATTATCAAATGCATTTGAAGATATTACAAGCAAGTTTTAATTAACAGATTACTATCTGTGCATTCTTTGCGGCGTGACAGGGGAACCGTTCTTCGCTCTGCCGTCTGCTTAGGAAGGACTGAACGATATTAAATCAGACTCCAGAGTCATTATTTAGAGTGCAGGAGGAGGAATCTGATGAGCTATGAAGCTCTTTTTCACAGATGTCCCAGTATGGGGCAGGTTCAGCGAGCATTAATCCACAAACAATGCAACAACAAAAAACGACAGGAGTGTAGAATAGACGAAAAGGTAAGCATCAATTATATAAGAGTCCGATTTTTCAAGCTTGGGCAAGGCAGCAAAAACAGCAACAAAACAGTCCCAGACCACACCAAGACAAAGACTGCCTGGCTAGGGCATTGGACTTATTGAGATCCCAATACACTCATCAATAAAGAGCCGGAGCGTTTTGCAGCTTATACATACATATTGCCATTGCAACTCCAAATACGTTGTCTCAAACCCTGACACATCCCCCCCCAAAACAACCTAATTTCACCAATAAGTCTTCCCACCAAACGTGCGTTAAAAATCTTCTCGTGCATTAGATCCGCCGAGATTATTTACCTGGAAATAAATGCACCGATTTGTGCTCCAACCCTGGTCCGTACACTCTCGTACAGTTCCTTGAGTGCTAATCTCTTGAGTCGGCAGTGGGGCCCATTCGAGTGGCCTCAGACTAACGAGAAGCATCCGTTCTCTACGTCCCGACACTTTTGACCTCTCCTCGACAGTGAACATCCAAAAACATTTCCCTCCATCGTTTTAATGAGGGCTTTGTCGAGCAGAGGTGACATTTCAATATCGGTGGCTGTTTTCCGGAGGTCCCGGTTGTGTCATTGGAAGTTGGGACTTGAGCATCACGCAGTTTTATTGTCGACAGGATATTGTCCTGGACCCGTATTTCGTGTCCTGATCTCATTTGGAAAAAGGTCTCCGATATAGTGCAATCAATTGATCGTAATCCACAGCCCATTGGAAATCCACTGCTTAATCACTCTGTGTCGGTCTTGGGGTTAAAGTTATTATTTGTGTAACGTACATGGACCGGTCAGTCCATTGCTGGATTAGGACACTCCCTACACCGTTGCGGGTCGTGGGGGTTATACGACCACACTTCACTGTGCTGGTCAATGTTTGACTGGTGAAGGCGGGTAACGTAACTTCACTGAGTGTCACGTGTCTTTTTCTGGAGTGTCCTGCCAGGTTTTACAGTCGGGTTGGTGATTTGTCCAATAATTTTTTTTTTTAACGAATTATGCCAGCGGCACACACGGTATCTTTCACGATGAGCTGCGAAACAGACAGCTTTCCAACCGTGGACCTCTGCAAGATTCCTCGAACGTGATTCAGCTAGGCCGTGTCGCCACCCTATTATTTAGGCGGTGGCGTAGTTGCTTCCGCTAAGAAACACAATAAGTCGAATATCGAACGTAAGAAACGATATTTTTCACGTCTTTATATAGCAGATTAATAAATAAAAATTCATATATATTATTTTACAAGCAAACAAAGCCAACACTGAGTTTCAAGATTGCCAGGAGCATGCTGCGCGAACATGTTTGACGAATTACTTGGCGGTGTTTTTAGCGTCAGAGCAAAACAATGAGTGTCCGAATAAAACAAACTGCACAAGTCTGATCATTACTGTACGGGTCTGATCAGCGTGGCAGTGTTGACCAAACAGGGCCTCTCTACACCTCGCTCTGGTGGTGTGAGCAATGAACCACAGGGATGCACCTTCAACTCGGTTGCCTCTTTATTAATTATTATACGAAACTAGAGTTGAAAATGGCAGCCTGCACGCGGCCGAATGCCACCGAATGCGGCAAACCGAACATCAATCGTCGATCTCTCGGTCTCCAGAGCAACAACAAGCTTGACCACCTGCATATGAAATTGCAGACGCGTGCCCACTGTGCCTTGATCATTCCTGGCCGTGATCGTTATCGAGGACACAGGACGGCGGTCATCAATAAATTATGAAATAAAAGTTTTGGTCGCACTCCTCCCGTTGTTTTCCTTGGCTCCGCTGCTGCGTGATCCACCTCCTTGTCAACTGCGACACGGCATCTGTGGACCGTTCAAATGAATCTAAACGGCTTAATTGGAACCCAGGCAACATTTCCACGGACAGTTACCGACTGAAAACGAAGCTAACATCCAGCGGGGGTGTTGTGGCCGCGTCGTTGTTGGCAGGTGGGTGCGGAGGTGGAGCGCTTGGAAAGGGCCCGTCCCGCGGAAGGCGGCCTAGGTGAGTTCACCTCCTACCTGCACCTGCGCGCCGTCGACTTCCACCACGAGGGCCGCTACCAGTGCATCATCTCCAACTCCTTCGGCTCCTCGTACTCTGGCAAGGCCCGGCTCACCGTGAGCGGTGAGTATTACGCGCGTTGCAGTTGTTGTTGTTGTTGTTCGTAAATAAATGTTTTTGTTGGGTTAGATCGTGTAAGTATAAATGTGTCGTATACCTCCCACCACCCGACACAGGCAGTAAGGTTTGTCACGTAACACAAAACGCGTCAATTAGTTACTACTTCAGCCCACCGGTGTGTTGGAGAGTAAATCCACAACATTTACAATTTGAGTAGTACGACGTTTCGCTGGTAATTACATCCAGCCTCATCGGGCGATTTGCCAGAATAGTGAAGCAATCCACCGACTTCCGGTTTTAAATAGAGCAAGATGACGTCATCGACTGAACCCAACAGCAGTGTTTAAACTGTTGTTGCCGATCTTGGTCATCATCGTCGTTTGTTTCTTCTCGACCGAAGATGACGCTGCTGACTGTCTGGTCCTGCGGGGCCTGCCCAGAGAGTGGTGGTGGTGGTCGCGGGGGGGCGGCATGTATAAAAGTGGCAACGTGCCCCAGGCGTCGCGCAAAAGAAGCGGCCAACAATATGGCTGTCACATGTTGGCCCGGGCCCCTTCAGGCCCCTCGGGGTGTCTAGAAAACCTAGGGGGCCGATCCTGGTACGAGTCAGCTGCCGCTGGGGCATTTCCCCTTGGCCAAATCGCAGCAGCAGCAGGCCACTGAGATGGTCAGGACGCGGCGTAACAGGCCTCCGACCTAAGCGCGCAGCACATTGCATCCACCGTGAAACGCTTCAGGTTTCGCGCTTCAACGAGCCGGTCTGCGCTGCCACTCCCGCGCCCGCCCGCTCGTGCGCGTGCGTGCAGTGCTCCCGTCGTTCACCAAGACCCCGGCGGACCTGAGCCTGCGCGTGGGCTCCACGGCGCGGCTCGAATGCGCCGCCGGGGGCCACCCATCGCCGCAGATCTCGTGGCAGAAGGACGGCGGCACGGACTTCCCGGCAGCGCGCGAGCGGCGCATGCATGTCATGCCCACCGACGACGTCTTCTTCATCGTCGAGCTCAAGGCCGACGACGCGGGGACGTACAGCTGCATCGCGCAGAATGCCGCCGGCACCATGTCGGCCAACGCCAGCCTCTCCGTGCTTGGTACCGGCCATCCGTCTGTCCATCCGTCCGTTCGTTTTTCCGTTCGTTTGTCCGTTTGTTTGTCTGACCGTTCATTCGTTCGATTGTCAGTTTTCACACGTTCGTACTTTGTACGCAAACTCGCCGTGCATTGTTGTGGAGCGATAGGTAAACGCATGGGTGGGCAGCATATAAACACAAAAAGTAATCCATCAGCCAATTGGATTTTCAGGTAAATATTATCCAACAGCATTTGTTTAAGCAAACTCTGGACCTTTTCAGCCACTTGACGTCTCGTCAGCAGAGTAAGGCTTGTAAAATGGTGATGGGCTACCAGATTTTTTCGTCAAGAGCACTACTTCTGAACAATGGGGCTCTGTGCAATGCAACAAAAAACAGCAATATTGTATTGAAGCTCATTATGCATTTTTTGTTTTGCACAAGGGATAAAAAAATTGTTGCAGTAGTTAGGCCAAAGCTGACCGGGTTGGCACTACAGCAGATTGCTCGAATCACATTGGTGAAGTTGCGAGATCAATGCTTGGTTAGGGGGTTGATTCAGCCCAGCTGCTTCCTCGGGTTGTCGAAATAATTACCAAACTGTGCAAAGTCACCAGTGAGCATTCCATGGACCTGCCGTGACGATGTAGAATGTCGACCACTGCCCCATGGCCGTCAGACGGAGAGAAGCACCGTACCACAACTCTCATTCAATCGTTGGCTACATTTTTACTTTGACTGGCGACTTTACAGTGACTTCCATATTTGCCTACGCGAATAAACTCACCGCACTATTATTAACCTCTTTCTGCTCTCCGGTGGGAGCCTGGGGCTGGAAGCTATACTGAGATGTCAGCAACACCGGCTCGGTTCTCCAACCACCACGGGACGTTAACCCCCCCCCCTCCCCAAGCCACCCAGCCGTACCTCCGAGGCACGGCGACGCTTTTAATTATTCACCGCCGAATCGTGCCTCATTTTTCAAGAGCGAGATTCGGGGCCACGACGCTGTCGCTGACGGCCGAATCGCGACAGGTGTCAGCGCGTGCGCGCGTGCACACGCGCACTGGCGGGTGGCGGTGGCGGTGGTGGCAGCGGCGATGGCCCCCGGCGGTAGCAGCAGCTGATCTGGCGGCGCGTTTCCTTTCGCGCAGAGACGCCCTGGCTGCTGAGGCCGGTGCAGGACCGTGCAGTGGCCGCGGGGGAGACGGCCGTGCTGCAGTGCATCGCCGGCGGGAGCCCCCCGCCTCGCCTCAACTGGACCAAGGACGACGCGCCGCTGCTGCTCACCGAGCGGCACTTCTTCGCCGCGAGCTACCAGCTCCTCGTCATCGTCAACTGCGGGCCCGAGGACACCGGAAGGTGAGATTTTCCCCTCGCTCTCAGGTATGTCAAGAGGAAAGGTGAGGCAAGCAGTTGGGCAGGCGGGTGGGTGGGCGGGTAGGCAGAGGGAGAGAGCCGAGGTAGGCTGCAAGGCATACGGACAAGCTACTACTACTATACTACTGTTTTTATATTAACAGGTAAGGCCCACTGAGCTCTATATATATTCAGAAGCGACCACAAATCATATCTCAACAAAGTGGCTTATCATCACATGGGAATTTATAGTAGCCAAATGCATGTTGATTCTTAATGTGGAGACCAAAATCCACGCGACCAGGGGGAGAAACATGCAAACTCCAAATATACAGCAGCCGTCAGCATCGGGATCGAACCCATGACCTCCTTCATACCAGACGAGGTAGCTAACATTTTGCCACGGTGGCGCCCAGACAGATAAGCGGAGAGGTAGTTAGGCAGAGGGGCAGACAAGCAGGCCAGTGGACAGACAGGGAGAGAGGGGCAAACGGGGCGAGGAATACAGCGGGGAGGCAGACAAGCAGACAGGCAGCGAAGCAGACAGACTACTGAGAGGGATAAGCAAATATGTGATATTGTCTTCAAGGAGAAAAAAAGCAGAGGGAGCAGCAAGAGATGCGGACAGTAGTCAATGTCTTCAACTCTCAGATGGCTTTTGGGTTTGCTGTTGGCAATCTTGAGCCAGTGGTTTTGTGACATTGCCACATTCCTACGGTGGGATCAATATCCCTAAAGCACAATCACCGTTGGCTTCCCACAAAGTATGAACCCAGAGTGATGACGATGATGATAGGCCGAGTGGGAATTCCACATTCCTGTGGCAGATCGCATTCTATCCTTGGGCTAACCGCATCCAACAACATTGTACACAAGCCGCACACTGTATACCATCTGTTCCATATTCCATTTAGACATGTGCATGCACGTGTGCAATGCTTCCATAATTAATTATTTTAAAGTTTTTCTTTTCTTTATTTATAAACATACATCTTGCCTTAATAGCCCTTTACTTAATTATAAATATAAGGAATATATTTGTTGCCGTACGCCTTCCCGGCTCTCACGAGTGTCCTGTTAATTCTATTCATTTCCAACGGAACCCGGGACAGTGAGGGTGGAAATGACCCCCACAGATTTTTATTTTATTTTAACCCAGCAAACCGCCACATTGTCAACATGATATTTTTCTTGGCACGAGGCAAGCTTCTGTTGCCAGTTTGCTAAAGTTTGTGTGAAATGTCCACCACCTATTTATTGGGGGGGGGGGGGGGGGGGTGACTGAGTGACTCCGCTGAGATCCTGGGTTGGGTTCAACATTTCAGGCACCTGTGATTTATACCGGGTTCTCAATTATGACAAAAAAAACCCCATCATGTTACATTTGATTCTGCAGTAAATTTTTGGTCTAAATTCCTACTCTGAGAAATAAAGTGGGTGGAAAAAGTGTGTTTCCTTTTACTGCTTGGAGCGGACGTCGCTTCAAAGGGGGATGGTGGGTCTCAGAGGTAGCTCTGTGATATCCACTTCCCTCCACTGTTCCTCTAACACAAAGGGCGTTGCAATACATTCTGTTCTCCTACAACGCGGTAGTTGCGTTCTGGAAGAACACCGCATTATGGGAAAATTGTGTTATAATAAATAACATAGTTTAAAGCACAGTCCGCGATTACACACGAGATGCGTACGCAGGCTGAGCAAAGACTGAGGTGTGTGGGTAGTGCTCTAGAAGCATCCAGCAGCATCCCACCCTGTGCGATGCAACGTCTAGGCAGCCGCACGACCGCGTATCTCTACTCGCGCGACGCACTTCCGTTCGCTCGACAGCGTTTAAAAAAAAGATTTCTTCCCTAATATACTCATCGCGTTATATGTCCAATTCGCGTGATGAAAACACGTGGCGTTTTAGGAGAACAGGACTGTACTCTGCGACACTGTGGGTGGGTGGGCGCTGGCAGGTACACGTGTGAGCTGTCCAACACGCTGGGCACGATGCGTGGCCACGCCTTCCTGAGCGTGCTGCCCCCCGGCGACTGCCCCCTGGCCGTCCCCGACGGCTCGGCGAGCGGCGGCGGCGGCTCGGCGCACGGCACCCTGGGCGGCGACGCCAGCGCCACGGTGGGCGTGGTGGTGATCGCCGTGGTGTGCTGCGTCGTGGGCACCTCCGTCGTGTGGGTGGCCATCATCTACCACACCCGGCGCAAGACCGAGGCCTTCGGCGTCAGCGGCTCGGGCAAGTCTGCGTGCGCGTGTGCGCGCGCCGCGATCGTGATCATTAACAGGCGAACCCTGACTTACGAACACCCACACTTACGAACACCCACACTTACGAACACCCTGACTTATGAACACCAACACTTACAAACACCCGACTTATGAACACCCACACTAACGAACACCTACACTTACGAACACTCGACCTATGAACATCCGCCTTACGAACACCCGACTTATGAACACCCGCACTTATCAATACCCAACCTACGAACACCCAACTTACGAACACCCGCTGATAAAGAGATCTGGACAGATGGAAATATCCGTTCATAGACAGAAGGGAAGAGGAAGGTCTTGAAACCTGGATTTGAAAAGAGAGTTGGAGTCAGCAGTGTGTTGGGTGACATCATCTCCATTGGACACAAGGACCCAATGGTTTAAATTCCACAGTCCCAAGATGGAGGCCAGCCATAGTACAACCTACTTGTGACGTACTACTGTGGTATTGATTTTTCTCGACCCCAGAATGGTGATGCCTTGAATAGAACCCTCACCAGGGGTTTGAACTCGTCCATTTCCAAATTGGAGTCGAGCTTGTGTTGCAGGACCATCCAGATTGTATGTATGGATATTGAACTTCTGTGTGTAGCCAACCGGGCTAATCGGAGGTGGGAAGTAGGACAACAAACTAAATACTTAGAGCAGTTCTGAATAAATTAATTTTCTATTTTGTATCGTGATGTAGTTAATAGTATTGTAGTGTGTCATAGTGTAGTGTATATTAGTGGGGAGCGGTAATGTAGCGGATAGCATGCTGCGCTATGAACCCGCTCACGGCCAACACCAGTGACGATTATCTAAACCGGTCCTGGGCCTCCCCTATGTCGACTCAGCCTCAACTGAGTACCTGGTGCGCTTTGTAAACATTGCCACTGGGGAGACAAAGGCGGTCGGGCGTGCTGCTGGCCATCCATCCCCACGTGTACCATTCCGGCCTTCATCGGTGCTCGCTAACTGCACTTGCCCCTACAGTCTGTTAAGTCTATATGGGGGATCTTTGTCTTTGGTATATTAGTGTATTGTGTAGTGTGTATTGTGGTGTATGTTGAACTTCTTTCGCACCGTACGTAGCCAACCGTAATAACCGGAGGTGCGGGGGAAGGATAACAAACTAAACACAAAAAGCAGATTAAATTAAGCTTCGAGATAACATATTTGCAAGTGGATAGTGCACGTAAAAATGTATTATTTTATCGTCATAAATTTTGATTTAAAGCTTTTGTGACTGCAGGGATTCATCTTCTTGGTTCTTTCGGTAAAGTCACGTAGAAGGGAAGTAATAAAATAAAAAATAAATAAAAAATTATTCTCACGACGTTTCGGCCACAACGCAAGCAGCCGTCCTCAGGTGAAAACCAGGTCCGTCGAGGCGACAGAGTCTGAATGAAACAGCACACGAGCTTGGAGCATATATGAGGACGGCTGCTTGCATTGTGGCCGAAACGTCGTGAGAATAATTTTATTATGTTTTATTTTTATTATTTTATTACTTCCCTTCTACGTGACTTTACCGAAAGAACCAAGAAGGTTTATCGTCATATTTCAGCGTCTCAACAGAAAGAAGCAAAAGAGAGCACCTGGGTGGCTTTTTGGCCCGTTAACTTTGAGAAAAATGGCCTCGTTAAAGTCCGGAAATTATAGAGTAGTAGTTGTGTCAATACTGTAGTTTGAAATTGAACAGAGACCCAGACCATTCACGACAAAGATGGACACCTTTGAAAGGTCCCGCATTCTCAGGTTTATTAAATCCAAATATCAATCCCACGTGTTCAACGATGACCTCTATACGATGTGCGCATGCATTGGTCATCACGGCCAGTCGCTTCAGCAGGTGCCCGTTGCAGAATGTCAAGAAATCGGGACCTCTAAGGTCAATTTACTTAACAAACAAGGAACAAATAGGGTGCGTAATAGCTTACGTACACGGAGAAAGTTTGCGTGTTTTGTTTGCGAAGGGCATTTGGATCAGAACTCTGTGTTTGTATACCAAGCAATGCAATTCGTGAAATATTGAATGCTCATTTTCTTTCTAGATTTGAAGCTTTCGTGACTGCAATGATTCATATTCTTAGGTTTTTTCGGTAAAGTCACGTAGGTATAAACATTAAAAAGTAATATAAAATAAAAATCACGACGTTTCGGAGGCAACACAAGCTTCCGTCTTCAGGTCTTCAGGTGGTACCGTTACTTGATACAGCCGTCGTGGCTGTGACGGTACCACCTGAAGACGGAAGCTTGTGTTGCCTCCGAAACGTCGTGATTTTTATTTTATTTTACTTTTTAATGTTTTTACCTACGTGACTCTTTCTTTGTTTGCGAAGAGTGCTTCATGTATAGACAATGACGCTGATTAAGATCAGAGTTGACTCGAGGTTATAGCTACAGGTAATGACTAAAATTGATGAAGATTTTTTTTTATTTCCAGATGAGTTTTTTTTTTACTTGAGAAAAACAATATAAATGTTGATTTTAATTGTGCACAGCGAAAGACACATCGTGTGCGTGACAAAAGGTGACGGGAACTTGACACGTAGCTTAAAGTACTGTTCACATTTTTTTTATTCTTAATTGTTTTTCATATCTATTTGCAGATGAGAATTTTGTTTCACCGGATGTACCAAGTTATCTGGCCTCTCAGGGAACGCTGTCAGAACACCACCATAAGCTCAATGGGCACTCCGAAATAAACAACACAAACCCACTCATGTCCAGCTCAACGAACAGAGGCCTGCTCCACCCAACCGCCACAAGAGGTTTGCCGCCCTCCATTCACCCATTCACTGTTTGTTTTCAATGCAATTCATCCGTGAATGCCTTCCCTGAACATCATGGGACCCCGGGAACATGAAGCATGTTATTATTTGATGGATTGCTGCCGTGGCATAACGGTTAGCACACTGGACTTGCAATCCAAAGGTTGCTGGTTCAATTCCATCTCCTGGCATGACAATTTAATTACTACTATTTAAATTTAAATTTATGAAGGCCCCCTGAGCTATATAGCTCTTTTTCAGAAGCGTCCTGGCTATCACAAATAATAGCTCAACGAAGTGGCTTACGTGGAAATCTATTGCAGCCAATTACTCTTAAACACATGTTGATTCTAAATGTGGAAGGAATAACCGGGAGACCCGGAGAAAAATCCACGTGACCACGGGGAGAGAAACATGCAAACGACAGGCGTCAGGGTTGGGATCGAACCAACGTCCTCCTGTATACCAGGCGAGGTTGTTAATATCTCACCACCATGGTGCTTAGTTAAAAATATGGTGCAAGTTTTTTTAATCTCCCCCGCCTCTGTCCACCGAGCAGTGTGTTCACTGCAGTTATATGGGTCACATGTGATTAGATGACGTGGGGGTACTCTCACCTCTTCCAATATGTCTGGCCAGCGTAGAAGAGTAGGCCAAGTGCCCTCTAGAGGGGCTCTGTAAAGCTCCCTCTAGTGGAGGCCTTTCCTCTAGCAGTAGTGTGAGCAAGCAATTGCCGGGCTGCACCTTCTTACTTCATCACGCTGGTCAGTGTAGGTCGATGAATGGGTAAATGGAGATTGGATGGGTGGGGGGCGTGGTGCAGAACCGGTTAGGATATCACTCGTCACAACCATGGCTGGGAATCTAACTTTGGGTGGCCGGGTTCTTAGCACCGTACGCTAACCGCTGCGCCACTTGCTGCACCCCCCCCCCACCCCCCCCCCCCCGAGAGACTGCATCTAACCGTGATGATGTGGCGTTGGCATTCTGGGCGCGGACGACGTTTGTGTCCGTGCGGTATCATAGCGACCTCGCGAAAAAAACAAAAAATGCGCGTTTTTTTTTTTTGCACGGTTATTTGCAGAGGCACATTTTCAACCAAAAAAAAATGTCTCGCCAAAAAAAAAAACAACGCCACCCCTCCATACTGACCCCTCCCCCCACTCCCCACAATGAGCTTGTGGGCTCTGTCCGTACAATTCCTAAGGCCTGCCCTCTGACATTCACTCGCTCCGCACCGTGACAAAACCACCTGGGTCAGTTCGCAGAGCGGTGAGAACCCGCAACCACGAGCAGTAACGCGGAAATAGGATTTGAGCAACAACAGAAAAGGTGGGGGGGGGAGGTGAGGTTATAGGCGCAGCCCTGCAATTTGCTTGCTCACGCCGCTGCTAATGGAAGGGCCGAGCTCGTCCACAGTAGCCTGATGATTTGGAAAGGGGGGTGGGAAGTGTCCACACTTCACCCCACCACGCAGCGGCCTGCCGATCAACTAAACCGCGTTATTGCCATTTATATTGCTGGGTGGACGGAGACAAGGGGATTTTAAACAACAACGTGGAATCAGAGTCGGAATATTTATTTTTACTGAAGGAATCAGATTTCCAGTAGGGGCGGGTAAGAACGTTACAACAGCAAACAGTACACGCACACGATAGTAACGCAAACTACAATAAAGGTTAACAAATCACCTGAACACACAAAAGTTTAAATTGCGTTTAGAAATGAAGAACAAATAAGCACGATGTATGTTCACTGATTCAGGGCCTCCCATTCACAGCCCACACTTACCCAGCATGGTACAACATCAGAATCAATATAATTATTTATACCGGAGGAATCCGATGAACTATGAAGCTCTTTTTTCACAGATGTCCATTGGGGGCTGCTAAGAACGTGACAACAACAAACAATAAAAATAAAACACGACAGGAGTGTAAAGTACAATGAAAGTAAACAAATCGTCCTAACACAGAAAAATCAAACTAAACCATCCCCATCCTATTAATAGGGTTTTTCCCCTTTTTTCTGGCAACAAAACTGAAACCTTTTTACGAGGATTCTTGTCTGCATTAACCACAATACTTGCAGTCAAAATGCAAACAAAAAACATACTATGATAATATATGCATTGTCCTTGAAACTGATTGATCCACACCAAGGGACGGCTTTCTTTTGAGCCTCGACCCAATTGGTGCTCGACCAGAGGACGCCAAAAGGCGTACAGCAGTACATCCTACCAGGCAAAGCCCACTGAGGTATTCACTTATTTTTCGAACTGGCGATCCGTATTGCAAGCCCATTGCGATAATCATGAAATAATGGCAGCATCCCAAGCAGCTACATCGATACATGGATGCCAGCGGTGCGTAAGCGAACGCTAACGAGGCATGCTGTACCCTCGCATTAAATGTGGTTCACGTGACTTACAATTAAATGCCTGTGCTTTTCTTTCTCTCGACATTTTTTTGTGTTTTAAAACAAACCCAATCATCCTTGTCAGCAAATACGCGAGTCAATAAGGCAGTTGTGACACGTCACGTTATAAATCAGCACTTGACTCCTTTGTCATTGCCATCAATCAACATCCTCAGTCTTCAATCATTAACCACAGCAGATAATATTATTGGACCTTAATGTGATAAAAAAAACGTATGAGCTTGTGGGCGCGTTGTGTAAATGTGTAGAGTGGTGGTGCAATGGTTAACGTGCTGTGCGATTTTTCCAGGCCACCCGAGTTCGATTCCCACTCAGGATTAATAAAAGTGGTGAATATTTGAACCCGTCCTGGGACCTCGCCTAGGTCGACTCAGCCTCAAATGAGTACCTGGTGCGGCGTGTAAACATCGTCACTAGGGATACAAATGCGCCGGGCGTGGTGCTGGCAACCCACCCCCTCGTGTACCGTGCCGACCTTCATAGGTGCCCGCTAACAGCACTTGCCCCAACAGGACATTAGGGCTACACGGCGGATCTTTGTGTAAATGTCTGTGGAGTGTGGTGAATCTGGTAAACGTATTCATTGCATTTCACTATGTGATTATTAAATGTCTCCAAGCTGGTGAGGTTAATGGTGTTAATGAAACACACGCCGTGCAGATCAAATCATAGTTTGTGTCACCAGTATGGGCAATACAGGAAACGTGTATTTACAGATGAGGTGTACTTATGCGTACAAATTTAATTCGAGATTATATCTGGGTTTATTTTTTTTTGCAGGCTTTCACCTCTCGCAGAATCAGATCATAGATCAAGGTTCACTAGTCACCCAGCAAGAAACCCGCAAAACCATGAAGGCGCATGTGCAACGCCGTAACTCAAGCCAGTTTCTACGCCATCCTTGATCCCATTGAGAATGGCGTGCCCTCCGAGGCCTTTGACGGCTCACAGGAGCCGCGTGTCACGTGATCTTATAGTAGTCCTCTGTTTGTCCGACAAAGCGTTATCCGAGTCTCAAGATTATTTTTTTTTCCAAGAGGGCCCTGCATGTCCCGGGATGTCACAATCCCTCGTTTATTCTTGAGCGCTTTCGCCAACGGTCAGAAACAGCTGAAAACCCACACCCGTGACGGAGCTGCACCGCTCAAAAATCCGTACAGATGTGGTCGGCAGCCTGCCTGCCGTACGGCCGTACGGCCGTCTCCTCACCAACGCCGCAGCTCGGCGGTTTCACGTCGCGCCGGCGTGACGATCCGATCCGAATCGGCTGCGGCAGTGTTCTTCACTCATTTTCAAAGGGGGCGGTCGAGGGGGGGCACTTTCGCCGATTAGACATCATCATTGTGTAAGGGCCGCCACACATTTGAAACCATTGGGGGTTTGACAGCACGATCGTGATAGGGGCGGTGTTTTTCACTATTTGTGTATTACTCTTTGGTTCTTTTGGTAAAGTCACGTAGGTGAAAATAAAATAAAAATAACTAAATCATGACGTTTCAAACGTCGTGATTTAGTTATTTTATTTTATTTTCACCCAGGCCTTGCAATGAAGAGCACACTGTGCACTGTGGAAGTTCCCGATCTCGGGCGTGATCCGCCAACTCCACGCGAAGTTCCGGCTTGCAGGCGCGCCACGTCGCCTGCCGACTGCACCCGATTGTGCAGCCGCGTGACGTGCAAGGCGCACGTTGAACGTCCCCCGTGCCGTACGTAGCCGACCGTGCTAATCGGAGGTGCGGGGGAAGGAAAACGAGCCCCCTAAACAAAAAAGAATCCCCTCCGCCACCTGCCTGAGATTTGAAACGCCAGTCCACTTGCGCGCGTACCCACCGAGTCGCGGAAAAGAAACCAATTTTTTTTTATAATTAACAAGTAAGCGCGGGAGGCTGCCATGAGCTCGGAGTGCTGCCCCCGCAAGATTGCTCAGACAAGATCGCGTGCATCTCCATAATCATTACGGAATGCGCGCTCGAGGTTCACGCCAGAGGCAACCCTGCGCAGATGTCTGTCGCAGAGGGCCCCTTCGGAAATATGCGCCGTCGCCGACCTGCGACCTCTGAGTGAGCGCGCTCGGCAGATGTGCGTCAGAAATTCATCTGCACTCCATTCCGCGCTTGGCCCCCACTGTCTGCTAGCAGATGGTTGCGTTAGACCGTGACGGATCCCTGGCTTAAGAACCACCCCACTGTACCCATCTCGCCGAGCGGACAGCTCTCTTCTTCTTTCTTTTTTTTGGACGTCCCTTCATTTTCGCCTGCTACTGTGAGTGAGCCCCGTGCGTTCTCGATTTGAAGCTTTCGTGACTGCAAGGATTCATATTCTTAGGTTTTTTCGGTAAAGTCACTGTGACGGTTCCACCTGAAGACGGAAGTTTGTGTTGCCTCCGAAACGTCGTGTTTTTTTATTTAATTTTATTTTTACTTTTATTAATTTAAATGTTTTACCTACGTGACTTTACCGGAAAAAAACCTAAGAATATGAAGCCCCGTGCATGTATGTGCACGCGCGTGTCTATGTGCGTAAATAGTGGGGAGCTGTGGCGCAAAGGTTTTAGCGCATTGCTCTGTGAAGCCAGCGACCCGAGTTCGATTCCCGATTAAGGCCAATAACGGTCGGCGGAGATTTGAACCTGTCCCTGGTCGACTCAGCCTTAAATGAGTACCTGGCGCCATGTGTAAGCTTCACCACTGGGGAGTTAAATGTGGCCAGGCGTGGTGTTGGCCACACCACCCCCTCGTGTGCCTTTGCCAGCCTTCATAGGTGCTCGCTCACAGCACTTTCCCCAACAGTCTGTTGAAAGTCTATACGGGGGATTTTTATCTTTGTAAATGTTAGGTGGCGCAGTGAACCTGATGTCCTGGCTAAAATTTCCACTCATGGATAACATCGGTGGCAAGTGGGCCATGAACCCTGTGCTCGTTCTTCCCCGAGTTGACTCGGCTTTAAAATGAGTACATTGCACAGTCTATAAACACCATCATCGTCATCACCAGGGAGAGAAAAAGCTGCTGGGTGCGGTGCAGACCAAAGTACTACCTCGTGCACAGCCCTGCCTTTACATTACCCTCAACCCCTTATCAGTGCCCGACCTTATAACAGACCAACTCAGATCTTATTGGTCACTCCGTGCCCCTGATACATCTCTACGTTCATCCAACAAAGTCCCATCACGAGGGAGAAACACAAACAAATTGAATAGTTTTTTTGCTCCCGTTTGACAAAAAATAAATGTTGCCCGTATTGAAATGGCTGTACGCCGCATGGACCTGAAAACTCGATTTTCCTGGACATTAATATGGCTAAGCCAGATGGGTTGACAGTTCTGCCTTTAATAGATGCTCACTTAACAGCACTCGCTCCCATAATCTGCTAGAAAGAGGCTATGTGTAAATTCCTTGATATTTGGTACGTTTCGAACGCCAACAAATATTGTAGTTTCGTTTTATTTCTGTGTCGTGCGTGAACGGAATGCACAATCTGAGCATCTGTGCCCTTGGAAAGTCTCCCTCGCAGGGTTTCGAAATGTCCGTCCAATCGTCGCAATGTCTTTCCACTCGGCGGATTTTTTTTTTCAACGGCTCATTGTAAAAGACGGTTGTCATGTTTATTCATTTCATCATGAATTCACACCATGTTTTAAACAACTAAATTTATTGCATCCCATTTACCCCCTTTTGCCCCCTTTAATTGTATTTTAAGAGGCTTCTGTGAAATCAGTGACAACATTGCGAAATGTTGTAACTTATTGGTGGTGGCGGGTTTAACAACAAATTTATATTTACCCGATCTAACTCAAAAACCTCTGTTATGCATAATACTGGTCGTGAAAGCCTCCTGCGTGTTAAATTAATATTGCGAAAGATCAGCTAAACACATATTAAGGACTACTTTTTTTAAATTCACACACGCAATAACTTGTTGTAGTTATTGAGCTATTGCTAACCCTTTGCAATTCGACTAAATAAGGATAATTAAGAACTTATAGCATGTTAATTCAGTACATTGTGAGACCTTGATCCTGAAATGTGCCATGTGAATGGAATGTTCTTTTCTTAATGTCAACAAAGTTTAATTTAACATGATTCCACATTAGTATTTTTCACGAGAAATGTCTTGACTTTAAGTTGTGACGTGCAGAAATTCAAATCGATAGCGCATTTAAATTGTGCACAATTGCTATTCAAACATATTGCAGAAATGACGATAGCGTACCACCCAGGAGCGTCATGTAGCGGTGCTGCCCAGAAAGATGTACGGATGTTGAACTTCTTTCGTGCTAATCGGAGGGGCGCAAACTTGTATTGGACATTTACATTATCTTATGGAGAACTGTATAAGATATTTGTTAGAGATGCATCGAGCAGAAACCCAGCGCATGCAGGCACAAATACAAATTTGAATGCGAATAATACTACTACTACTAACATTTCCAAGATAAATGTGCAGCTCTGAATTATTTAATCACGCTGCTTCTGGCGGAAGGGCCTGCATTATTACGAGCTCTAGGGAGCCTCTTTGAAGAGGGTGTTTTGGCCTACTCTTCCACGTTAAGCTCAGCCGTCTTTGAATGCCACCATCGTTCATGGATACTGCAGCAGGCACTCGATATTTACCGGAACAAAATTTTTTCCGACGATGCATCTTTGCCTGTCGAGAGATTTCCAAGTCTGCCAATGTGTTGCTGGAGGTTACATAAGCAACGACAAAGGCGACAGGAAAATATAGACCACTTCAGTGGAATACAATTTTCAAGCAACGATTGGCAAACTTGCGAAAGTCAGAAGCGCCGGTGGATGTGGCACAGAGAGAGAGAGATAAGTGCAACGCTTTCTTGTTGTCTGTATCGGTGCGTACAGGTGGGAGAAAATACTTATGCCCAGGGTAGGAATTTTGTCTGGAGCCCAGGTGTGCAGAGAAGTTGGATCGGTAGGAGTGAGCGTGGCGGTGCGTGACGCGAGTGTGGCGATTATGGTTTCTGAGCGGCATCAAAAAAATATTAATTAAATGCAAACAATATAATTGCATACAATAGAATAATGTACATACTGGGATGTACCGTAATGTAATGTTTAATGTACGTATCCAAAACATGAACTGATGCACATATACAACATAGTATGGGTCATCAGCCATAATCTCTGTCCACTGCTGGATGGAGGCCTATGAAAAGCCACGACCACCTTATAATCGTGTGATGCAACACTGCGTCTTGCGTGTGCTGTAAGCAAGTGTGCAGATGAGGCTGGGAACCTAGGAGGGCTTTATATGAAAACCGCACGAAAAAAACGAACAATGTATATACAAAACAGATTTTTCAATCAATTAAACAAAGCATACTGATTACAAATTAAACATGTTGAACTCAGTGTTCAAAAAAACATGTTTGTTTTCGTGTGCACATGTGTATGTAGGTGTGAGTGTGTGTCTATGATGGGGAGTGGTAGTGTCTCGGTTAGCGCGCTGCGCTACGAACCCGGAAACCTGAGTTCGATTCCCGCTCACGGCCAACAACTAGGTCGACTCAGCCTCGAATGAGTACCTGTGTGCGGTGTAAACATCGCCACTGGGGAGACAAAGGCGGCCAGGCGTGGTGCTGGGCATCCACCCCTTCATGTGCCATAGTGCAGGCCTTCATAAGTGCTCGCTAACAGCACTTGCCCCAACAGTTTGTTAAGGCCATATGGGAGATCTTTGTCTCTGTATGATGGTGGACTTTTTTTAAACATTGCTTCACGCAAAATAAAATACTGCATTCGTACATTTGTGTGTGTCAGAGAGAGGGAGAGAGTGTTTAATTATAAATGGTGCTGGTCTATGAACACCGGATTGAAGAAAATGTTTTTGCAATCTTTTTTACGATGGATAGCCCCCAAATATTTCACCGTTTTTGTGCTTGATGGCTTTGTGTAACAATGGTTGTAGTGGTGTTAATTAAGTTCTCGCCACCCCCCCCCCCCGAAAAAAACTAGTTCAAATAAAGGATAAATGTGTGTGTGGGCGTGTGTTTCCAATGCAGTGCAGACATATTTTCAGACTTGGCACTGTAAGGCATTGCAGACTGGATTGCATTCACACTCTTGGACTCTTATGCTACTAATTTAGTGGGGAAAAACGTCAAAAAATGTCTCTAATTACAGCTGGGCAACCAATTAAAAAAACATATTTTTCCGAGGTTAAGTGGATAAGTGTTTTAACTGTTCTTCAATTAAAATAATATTCCCTTGCGTGCGTGTGCAGGTGATTGTGGGAAGCTGGACACAGTGAGAGAGAAAAAAAAAACACTTCAAAGGATTTTAGCTTTTTTGAAATGCTGTTCTTTTCCTAACAGGTGGTCAGACTGATTCAGTGCAGCTGTGCTCAGACTGCTTGGACAATACTGCGCCGTACGCCAACGAGAGGCACGGCCAAGTATGCGGTGCAGGCGTGGGAGAGGATGAACAGGAATCAGACCTTGATCAGGCACTTTCAGCCCAACCTCCGTGGACTACCGCTGGGGTCCTTCCGGTTGACGTGGCATCTGTTTCAGGTGAGTTTGTTCGTTAGTTAATATTCAAACGTCACTTGCATGAGCTAGTGGCCTATGAGGGCAGAATGTTCCCGGGGCATGCAGGAGTCCAATTGTGGACTTAGCACGGTTGGCTACGTACGATGCGAAAGAAGTTCAACGTACGTACACACAATTGGGTTGGTGTTTAGACAGTAAAGGACGAATTGGACACGAATACAGAGTACTATGTTTGCATGTAAAAAAAAAAACTACGTTTTCGAAAAATGTAATTGACAGATGTTAACAATGAATTATGTACATTGATATACTTTCATGCATAGATGGTTCGTCCCACGGCTATACTCAATGCGTATCAAATTAGTTCATCAGAATATTTCTGTATACTGAAAGAATCCGATGGCCTATGAAGCAATTTTTCACAGATGTCCAATTGGCAAGTTGCGAGACGTTGCAGCCCAGGACATGTTTTCCGCACATCTATGAAGCACTGAGAGAGGATGACTCCCAAGTATGGATATCGCTTGGACCACTTGGCCACGCGGTCACGTGGTCCAAGCATCAGCAGGCATAACAGCAAAAGCTGTAACAAACGTGGAGGCCAGATCCAGATGGCACAATAAAAACCAAAACTTTGGAGGTTTTCGACATGGACGCAGAGTTGAATTGACTCTCGCCTCGTGCGAAATTCACGGGGACAGGCAGTGTGGAGGCCTCCTGCCACCACCCACCCTACGGCGGATTCATTGAGCCTTTAAATAGCTAAGGGCTCAGTTACTCCCCTTGTTTATAGTTACAAAAAGGCAGCCGGGCATGAGACTCTTTAGGGGCAGTGTCAGCTGCTGCACATCAGCCGCGGCGTTTCGTGAAAAGGTACAGGCACACCTGTCAACTCCTCCAACGAGATACCAAACTTCTCGCTCCGCCACTCTTTAAAAAAAAACACGGGGTTTGTTTTGTGTGTGTATGTTGAAGTTTTCTGCATCTTGTCGTAACCTGCTGCGTCTTGTAACTTTTATCGCAGTTTTCTGTAGGCCCACCCCCCCCCCCTGGACACAGCCCAGATTTGCTTGTGCTCTTGTCGGTGTTGTGTGCGCTGCGGTGTGGATTGTCCTGCTGTGTGTATGTCGAGTATTATTTATATTGTAAGCTACCCGCCGCCTCCTCGTGTGTGTCGTATGACAGCGCGGATTGGTTTTCCCCGACAACTTTATTTCGTAAGAGTTCGAACTTTGGCGGGTGGGAAAGGCTTCGCGATTCGATCGATCTATCTATTCCAAAAAAACAAAAGCCGAGCCGCCCGCGTTCACATTTTAAGATGCTCGCAGCAACAACAAAAATGTAAGCCAGCGTTGACCTAATTCTAATAGCTCGTAATCTGTTTACATGGTAAAACAAAGGGTGTATGGGCTCTTTAAGCTTGCAAAAGAAACCGAAACGCTCAATTGAAGTCCACCTATCTGTAACATAAGAAGGATTACGAATGAGATACCATGGGACCTTTTTTGCCAGCATGAGTTGTGTTAAGATGTTAAAACACCAAATCGATACTTTTTTACTAGGCATCAGAGTCTGCATTGTACACGCGTACTTGTGGCAGAACATGCAAACGAACACGCTCTGATAATAAGCATTGGCTTTGAAGCTGATTGGCCTACACCAGAAACAGCCTTCGTTTATGGCCTAGTCTCACTGCCAGCGTTAGACCAGAGAACGCCAACAGGCGAACAGTACAAAGACATTTCGATTTAAAGCTTTCGTGACTGCAGGGATTCATCTTCTTGGTTCTTCTCGACAGACCTGTTCTCCACCTGAGGATGGCTGCTTGCGTTGTGACCGAAACATCGTGAGAATTATTTTAGTATGTTTTATTTTTATTATTTTATTATTTCCATTCTACGTGACTTTACCGAAAGAACCAAGAAGATGAATACAAAGACAATGCACGTGTCAGAGCACTTACAGCTCGGGTGCAGCAGTTATATCTACGGGACCTTTTTTGCCATCCAGATCGCTGGGCTGTCCGGAGCTTATTGGTTCACAAATCTCTTCCGGGACATAAAATTAAAACAAAATAATGGTTTTATTTACGAAACTAAACTTTTTATTTTACCAGGTAAGGCCCACTGAGCGATATAGCTCTGTTACAGAGGCGGCCTGGTCACAAAACGAATGGCTCAACGAAGTGGCTTATCATGTTGAAATTTAGAGCAACCAATTACTCTAAACGCATGTTCCGAAATGTGGAGGGAAGAGCCGGAGGAACCGAAGATAAATCCACGCGGCCACGAGAAGAGAGACATGCAAGCTCCAAATATGTAGGCATGAGGGTCGTAATCAAACCCACGACCTCCTGCATACCAGGCGAGACAATTAACATCTCCATACCGTGGCGCCCCCTCTCGATTGAAGAGTAGCCACCCCCCAGTGAATTGGCTTCCACCACGTGTCGTGGCAGTCAGCCGGGTCCAGAACTCCCACTACTGTTTGCGTAAAAGTATAAAATAAAAATTGTTATTATTCTTTGGGTCTTTCGAGGAAGTCACGTAGATAGGTTCAAAGAAAATAACAAAGAATAAGAAACAACTACGACGTTTCGATCTTCCTGATGATGAACGCTTGTATTGTGATCGAAACGTTGTAGTTTTATGTTATTTTTTGTTATTTTCTTTGAACCTATCTACGTTGCTTTACCGAAAGACCCAAAGAATATGAATTCCTGTAGTCGCGAAAGCTTTAAGTCCAAAATGCTTAAGTTGCTTTTAAAAAAGGTAATACAATGATACACTCGCCCGCCGATGTGCTGAATGCGCGCACCAAACAAGCAGGTGTTTGTGAGAATCCGAACGTTTCTTTCTACCGGAGGAATCCGCTCAGCTATAAAACTCGAGGAGAGAGTCGCTGTTGACGTGTCACAAAACCGCGCCCGTTTGTATCGACCACCAAGAGACGAGCCAGCGTAGCATAGTTTTTAGATGTATAGAAATATAGATGACGCATAGAAATATAGATGATGTATAGACATGCCCTGAGCATGTTTTTAATATTTTGGTGGCAAGTAACAGGCGCAGTGAACAAGTGGGGTTGTGTCAGAAGGAGCTACACCTTTGTCAAATAGACACCACAGCTCCATGCATGGATGGGACACTACATCACACCATGTGGCCCTTGACCTCAGATAATGTTCGTGTGTGTGTGTGTATGTGTGAGTAGCGGTGGCATATTGATTAGCGCACTATGCTCTGAACCATTGCGGCCCGAGATCAATTCCCGGTCCCGGATGACATCAGCGCCGAGTGATAGCTGAGCTGAACCCGGTTCCACTGTGCAAATATCAGCACTGGGGATATAAAGACGGCTGGGTGTGCTCCTGGCCACACCATCTCCTCGTGCGACGTGCCGATCTTAACAGGTGCTCGCAAACAACACTTGCCTCCGAGCAAATTCGCCATGTGGCCTTAGCGGATGACTGGACGCTAGCCCCACCACTAACTCTTGTTTTGTGCCCTGTTTTAACCTTAAGAAGTGCTGGCTCATGGTGTGTTCTCCAGGTGTGCTGGTGTGTAAACAGGTGGCCAAGCATGGTGGTGCTGGCCACACCGCTTCGTGAGCTGTACCAGCCCTAGCCTCAACAGTTTGGATGGCTACACATGGGGGCGGGCGGGTGGCAAGATGTTAACGACCTCGCCTAGTATGCAGGAGGCCGTGGGCTCGAGCTCGACTCTTAACGCCTTTTATATTTGGAGTTTGCGTGTCTCTCTTTCTTCCTGTGGTCTTGTGGATTTTTCTCCGGGCCCTCCGGTTTTTCCCTCCTACATTTAGAATCAACATGCGTTTACAGCAGTTGGCTGCTATACATTCCCACACGGTGGTAAGCCACTTCGTTCAGCTATCATTCTTTTGGCCACGTCGCTTCTGAAAAAGAGACTTACAGCTCAGTGGGCCTTACCTGGTAAAAAAAAAATGCTTTGTATTAATAGTTTCGTATATATGTATTTGTGTACAGCGACGGTTTGTTACTGCGATTTCTGGCTTGCTTAGCCTTCATCGACATTGCCCTGCTCAAGTAAGCTGGGTGAATGCGTGCCATTGCAGAAGCCAGCGGCCTGTGCATGCGGGACGCCTGCAGCCGCCAGGGCTCAACTGTCGCAGAAGAAGAACGAGAAAAAAAGTGAGCCGGTCCACTTCCTGAACTCTGTCACTTTGGCCTCCAGCCTCGAGAGTCCATCGACTTTCCAGTCATTTGGGAAGACGTGCTGCACTTCCGAAGAGGGCCAATCGGAGCATTTACTCAATCACTGACACGTCGGACCTTTTCGCCGGTGGAGTGGAAGAAATCTGCGGAAGTACCAACAACCCCTTTCGGCAAAAATGTGTCATTTGGTTTCCTTTCCTGGTTCGTTCTCTGAAGTCTGAATGGGCGAAAAAGGGACATCTTTTAAAATGTACAGAGCCAGTGCTTTATACAGGGTTCAGTTATCACAATGGTGATGTTTGGGGATGAGTATCAATGTTTATTTTAACAACAGTGATAACCCCGAGATCACTTCATCTGCAATCTGACTCTCGTTTTTATCGTGCAACTCTTGGGAAATAGGTTTTAGTTGTCAAATAACGTTTTATTATTTTAAACGTTCTGTTTTAAAAGATCGCGCTTACATTGCGACGCTTCGTTTCACCGACTTCCAAGTTGCTACGCAAAGAATGTGTGTGCTTTCGGTGACTCTTTGCGTTCACAGCAAAACACGTGATGCGTTTCACCAGCAACAAGGCGGGCACTTTAATTGCGAGATGTTGGCCATCCGTTCTCTTTGGCCCTCGTTGTTAAGTTAGGAGAACGGTGTTGTTGTGTTCAGGGGGGTTATTACCGCGCGCTTGCTAATATCCCGTTACCTGTCGTTTGCAATGGGAGTGTTACGCAGAATGGTCCGGGCATGTAACGACGTATCGGATCGCTCGCGATTTTTTTTTGTGCGTTCGGGATGAGCGCGTTGAATTGCGCGCGCGCGAAGGTTTTGAAAACTTGGACTGTTTTTTGCTAGATCGCATTCAAATAAATACATAGGCAAATGTTACTTTTAACTGAAAAAATATATAAATAATGCGACCAAGACGGGCAATATTTTGACGGAAAAATGAAAACATCTCGAATTTAATCGTGACCCTGAATTGTGACGAGTGATCGTATCGCTGAGCGGTATGAATTGTTACGTGCCTAATCATAATAATAATGTGTTAGAGCCTGTCAACATCCTTGACAGTTTCTCATTTAGCACAACAACAACATTGGTACAACAAGAACACGTTTATTGTTATTAAATAGCAATTGTACATGCTTTCATTAGGAACATACGATGTTTCATAGAGGCCTTCTGTAGGATAGGTATCCAGGGTAATTTGAGATTATGTTTCCGTGGAAAACTGTGCCCTTCGGAGATTGATTTCTCAACAACTGGTTTTCAAGAAATGCCACAACATAGATTCTCATGTTTACAAATTAAAGGATGTAATATATAAGTGCTAGACGCATTTCATAAGAATAGGAAGATGACTTATGGATGAATGTTTGGCGTTTGTGGTAGTGGTAGTGGTGGTATTTTTCGACTTGTCATACGACTGTACAGACTGTGGGTGACTGGCTTGGATTGATTGTCCATCCCTTGATTTTTATCCGCAGATATAAGAGTAAAATAACATTTCAGCAATAATACGTCAGCGCTGAATTTCCATATAAATTGCGTGGGCTTTGTTCAGAATAGCGTTCAGTGTGCGGACACAGGTTCATCCCATAAAGTTGATTCATTATGCTCTCGTACAAGTAGGAGCACATTTGCCTAAAAGTCTGGCAAAAAATCAAGCCTTTTTTCACGTCTTTAATGCACTTAATACGCTTTCGTGCACTCATTATACTTAAGCACGCGAAGCAATTTAATATTCAGTTATTTTGGGGCGGGGGGGGGATGGAAAGGCTGATGTGAAATATGTCAAAGTGCCAAATGCTCATAGATGCGTTCACCTGACCTGTTGACACCATTTGGCAAAAGTCACTATCACTTTCAAACTCGCGTCATTGCTCGCAAGCGAATCAATGGGAAGCATTTGAGGACACGTTTCCCACATCAGTGGGTGAAGAAATAAGAAGACCCCCCCCCCCCCCCCAGTTGAAATTGAAAATCAAGTGGGCGGTTGATAAGACAGATAAATTATTTTGTTTGCTATTGTCTCTGGGCTATGCCAAGGTTGTGGTTTCGAGATGTGATGTTGCCTATATCGCCGTTTCCCAAACCAGCAGGTCATGTCACGGCTCGTACAGTTTCATTATTATTTCGTGTAAACTTAATTGAAAGCGCGCATTTATGTGAATTAACGTTGCGAGGGCTTTTCCAATTGGGAGTTTTTGGGAAAAGCGTATCATTGTTGTGTCCTGGCAAAGTGGATCCGTATAGATAAGATCACCCAAGTCTCAATTACTCTGTCAATTGCTAAGCGCTGTGCCAATACCCCAGGTTCTGGAATTAATGAACTGTGCACAAGACCAGTTCAGCTCTTACCTCGTTTCAATGGCCTAGCCGTCCCGTGAGTTTTCTGCTCAAGTTTTAATTGCTGCATTTTATTCGGTTCCCTAAAAGGGCTCCCAGAGCGAGAAGCAAAACATCGGGACAGCCAGCGCAGCATAACCCGCGAACAAAACTCAGCACGGCTGTGAATGGCCCCTTAACCAACGCATCTCCGACGCTGCTCCGTACACCAAAGAGCATTGCCCAGCATGTGGCTCTGACCCTAGGCGCGTAGTAGCGTGGCTCGGCATCATTCACAACCCACTGCCCCAGGCCGGGCACCTCGGGGCTTCTACTGACCGAGAGATTATGTCATCGAGGATTTGATTCTGGAATGCAGCTCGTATGCACGGTGGTTCATTGGGCCATTGACTCTATGTCAGTGGTCGGGAACCTATGGCTCGCGAGCCATATATGGCTCTTCCAGTGACGGCATATGGCTCCCAGGCAATTTTGAGTTGAAAAAATAATTAAAAATAATTAAAAAATCAGTTTGGAACTGATTTTAAAATACTTGTGATATTGCTTAATAATAGTGTGTCATTTTAAAGTAAACAGAAATTAGTTTTGAAGATAAATTTCACGGGTCACGCCTGCATGAAGCTCAACCTCACCAAGTCGTATGAACCAGACTACAAGGCCATCAGCAAAACCATGCAGCACCAGAAGTCGCATTAAAAGTAAGACATATTTAATTTATTACACGTTAAAAATACTATATGGCTCACGATGAAATATATTTAGAAATATTTGGCTTTTATGGCTCTCCCAGTCAAAAAGGTTCCCGACCCCTGCTCTATTGACACCCGGATTAAACAGCAGTGTGTACAGGGGGCGGTGGGGGCGCTATACATCACTCGGCTGTGTGTTCTAAGATTAGCGGGCCCGAGGTGAGTGAGGGATGGGCAGAAGAAAAGAAAAGCCGCTCAAATTTGTTTTTTTAACCAGACATAGCCTGTTTAACACGTAGGCTTTCGCGAGCAATATGATTCATAATAAAGGTGTTTGGGTTAGATCGCGTCCGTATAAATGCGTCGTGACCCTCCACCACCACCCGACACAGCCAATTAGTTAGGGATTTGTCAGGTAAACAAACGCGAAGTGACAACGCCCGCTAAGTGACAATGCCACCAGTTGTTGCCACACAATGTTAAGGTCAGTCCTTGGCTTCGCAAGCACCCGTTCAGCCGTTTTTTGTCGATCCACTGGTGGACGAGGGCCTCCCCACGCCGCGCCGCGCAGTTCGTGGGGTGGTTGCTCTACCCCACGCATCACCAGGCCGGCCAGTGCAAATTGGTGAAGGCGGGGAGCATATAAATGGGAGCATAGAAGTACAGTACAACAATGGATTTTGCCTTTTGCTGCCAACCACCTAGCCCTGTATCCCATGACAACCTAATTGTGGGTTTTGTTACATTTAAATTAATGATGTATACGGTTTTCGCATAAACAGATTCCTGTGATGTTTATGTGTATCATTCTATTATAGGTCGGTGCAGAATAGTGGTGGATTTGGTCGATTCCAATGGTGAGATTAGTTTCAGTTTAGATGTTGATCCAGCTTGGCCAGGATTGGGCACAACATAGCCCACTTTTCACCCAGGCAACTGGAGAGTAGCACAGACGAAGTGTTACTAACCTATCATTAAAGCTAGAAATGGCACATTTACATATCAACATGTAACAAACACCATACATTACGTAACAACTAAGTGTAGAACGTAAAATTCCATCAATGGTTACAAATGGCATAGTCCAACGTTGGAATGCCTCCTTCCAACGCTGTCAGAATCATTGTCCTCGATTAACTATCAGTGCGTTATGGAATCTGCAGCGGTGCCTCGCTGTTGTGAGCCACTTACACGCGGATACAAACTGAACGATCACAACTCACAGGCTCAGTTCATCAGCGACGGAATGCACTTTCACGCCGAACTGCAACCGCGTAAAAAAAAACATAATATCATCGTTGGACAATTCTATTAGCGTGCGACGTGACACACGGTAGAAACGAATGCATTTGTCAATAAATTAGAAATGGCAAACGTATCGAGATGCCATTGATGTGAATATAAAAAAACTACGTAAATGCTTCGGCAAGTTCAGGAACAGCTTAATGTGTTTGTTTCTATCGTAACTGATGTTACACGGTCATGGAATTGCCCACAATTATTGTTTTTTTTCGTGCATTATTAGGAAGCATGGTCTTTTCCACACATTTTCTTACTTTTCTCTGCTATATCTCGACGAATGTGTTTGCCTCTGTGCCTCTCCGTGTGTGTGTGTGTGTACGCACGCGCACGAGCGTATGTTGTGAATGCTGCATTTTTCACAGGGAGTCCTGGTGCGTGTCTATTAAAAAGCGGAGACTTTGCTGTCAAGACACGCTTGTTTTAAACGAGGCCGGAATATCTCCTGCCAGATGCCCTCGGCTTTTTAATGCCGAACATTAGGGGCTATTGCGTTTCAATACGGCACGGTGAAGCTGGGCCCTGCCTCGTTTAAACATTCAGAATATTTATTTAGTGGGCCTTAACCTGCATAAAAATGTCTGGTTTATTGCTGATATAGCAAACCGATCGTGGTAGGACACACAATGTCTATTGAGCAAAAAAGCCACCCCTAACTCGGAGATAACGAGTTGGATCATTTGCTCCTGCAGTGCCTGCGTTCGTGCAATGTGCCAGCACTGCTGCGATGCCTGGTTTAAATCTCTTGAGAACTCCCACCAGATATAACATGTTTATAGCATGTAGGGGGGAGGAAAGAGAGAGGTACAGCCCTCTAATTTCTTGCTGATTCCACCATTCGCCCCCCCCCCCACCAGAGGGTATTTTGGCCTAATCTTCCAAGCTTATCAGACTTCTTGAAAGGGTAGGAGTATCCAAACTGTATCCACATTTGCGCTGCTGAGTGGACAGAAGGGCAGGGGAAATTGAAGAACTTTCCCCTATTTGAACTTCCGTGCCGGGAGATCGAACCAGCAACCTTTTGGATCACCCGTCCAGACTGCCAACCATGTTGCGATGAGTTCATGTTTGAAGCCTGCTCAAAAATGACGGCAGACCAAAACGACGTTTGTTCCTGCACATTCTCTGCTCTGATGGCCAAATTTCAGTGCCCGCGTTGCGCAGTGACTTGACCAACGGGCACAGAATGAACCATTGTTGTGGGTGAAGATGATGCAGTCGTGCTTGTCTACGATACACCACTGAGGAGGCACGTCACGTGAAGCCGTGGCGTGTGTCACGTGACACGTAGCCTTGCTCACAGGTGGTTCTCGAATGGAAGAGGAAGGGGGGAGGGGACCTATTCACTCTGTGCCTCTGTGAGATAGCATTATTACACGGCAGTAATTAAAAACAAATGTCACATTTTTTGACAAGGTACAACAGACAGCTTTTTGCGCGGAACCTGGAACGTCACGTGTGAGTCACTCCCATGTGCGCAGGGCCTCTGAAACCACGGCGTCTATGTCCCGATCTTACGGAAATGCGTGTAAGTCAACGGTCGGGATTGCTGTACGTGACGTGATTATATTGCGGATAGGACTTTGGCTTTTATTTTGGTTCACCCCCCCCCCCGCCTCCAACAGAAGCTTGATATACTTTGATTGTGAATGAAAATGAGAGAGGGGAAAATCACGAAAGTAATATAGTGAAAGGAAAACTTGTATTTGTTCAACGTGCTCATGAAAGGAAAAAAAAGGGGCTATGGGGATAATTCTAGCTTTTAGGTTTTCGTGACTGCAAGGATCCATACTCTTTGGTTCTTTCGGTAAAGTCACGTAGATGAAAAAATGAAAAAATATTTATTTTTTATTTTGGTAAGTCACGTAGGTGAAAAAATAAAAAATAAAAATACAAATGTTTATTTTATTTGTATTATTTATAAAATAAAAATAAAAAATTATTTTTATTTTTTCACCTACGTGGCTTTACCGAAAGAACCAAAAAGTAGGGCTTTATGGAGCCACACCTTTTTGTGACCTCTTTTACGTAAGGCCGTCCGAACGCGAATGGTAAGATAAGCTGTACTCTTCTTTTTACCGCAGATCCCTTGGCGTCACTAAGACTACCTTGGGCTACTTAATTCTGCCATTGCCGCGTTCCAGTTTGCATCAGGCCCATTAGTGTGCTCGCTGAACCATGCACCGGGAGGGAGGCAGGGGGGGGGGGATCTGTTTACAGACACCACCTTGATAACAAAAAAATGTTTGCTTGTGGAGAAAAAAAAGCACTCCAGTCGCATAATCATTTCAACGTTACGCAACATTTGTGTCTAAAATGCATGCCGCTGGTGAATTGGGTGTCCGGTGCTCAGAAGCGAATTACTCAAAATCCTCGAGAGAATCTAATTTGGCTTGTGCCTTAGAAGTGCCGTTTGTTTGGGAGGGGGAATGGGTAGGTGGTGTTGGTTGGTCGTGTACATTTTTGTAATGGGGAAAAAGCCGATACCAAATTTGTGTGCATCACAGAATCAACTCTTTTTTTTTCATATTCCCGCGTGAGCAATGCCGCCTCCTTCGCTGCCGCTACAATAAATATTAGCGGATACATTGAGTCATGCAAAGATGTCGTTCGGCAATTGCAAATAGCGGAA